GCACCAGAAGCGCCCCCCTACTCGCGGGGAATCCCATCTAGGGGCTCCGGAGCGAAGTGGGGTGAGAAGCGCGGTGCTACGAACTGACTGCTACTTTCACGGAGTGAAGCCGCACAGCCATTGCCAGAGAGCGCTGACTTTTTCCTGTGGACAATTGGATTTAAAGCAAGTACCCGTGAGTAGAAACGGAAAATTGGATCAAGAAATTGTTTAATTTGGTATCGAAGCGGGAAGGTGCAAACAGGAAGTCCGCCTTCCGCTTTTTTGTATATAGACTAAAGCAAAAATTTTGCAAGCTAAAGCCGGGAGCTGTCAAAAAAGACTAAAGTTCCTTCATTCAGAACTACTGAAACCCCCCTTGGAAGCAGGAGAAAAGGGGGGGGGACTCTGTTTAACCCTGGCAGGAGAGGGAGTGAAGAAGGATAAGTTTCCACCGTCTCTAACCTGGGAACGGGGTGTCAGAGACAGAAACTGTTGGAGAGGTTCATTGACTGTGAACGTAATACTTTGACAGATAGCTAATGAAGAGAAACAAGTGGATTCTAATGTTGCCTTTTGCATTTTAAAGAAACAAAATATCTGAAAAACATCTGAAATATCTGAAAAATGAAAGTAACTTTCCTTTGTCTTCAAAAATAAAAATAAAAATGGATACAAATAGTTTGTCTCCTCTAGAGGGAGCTTGCTAAATTGTTGCTGTAGGATATTTGAGACCCAACATCTGTGAGATTAAGACTGTGGGAACAGTCTTTTCTGACCTTGAACAAAGATGAGCTGGGAGGGAGACTAGGTGCTTGCTCTATGCAAGACAAATGCTTTGCTGGAACAGATGCATGAGAAGATGGACTTGATGAATGAGAAAATGGATTTGACTGTTGTGGTTGATAACTGTGGACAAACAGGGAACATTGATACAGAAATCAGTCAGGAACCAACCTATGAATTTGTACTGACTGGGCAAGTGCAGATGACAATGGAGGAGGATGCGGCTGCACCTCAAATAGTACAAATGGAGAGACCCGAGGCCCTACAGGAGCATAAGCCGCTGTTATTGAAGATTGAAATTGGAGTGGGCCAAGGGGAGTCTGGAGATGAGGAGATTCCTAGCTTTGGAGAGATCTTGAAATTTGATTTTAAATACATTTTGGATTATATCGAGGACTGTGGGGAGTGGGACTGTGGGGAATGGGCGAGCTGGATGTAGGGTGATGGAGACAATTTTGGGTTGGAATCCCCCAGAGAACTACTCCTCAATGAGAAAGGAAAGAAACTAAGACAGAGACCAACAAAAGACAAGGAAAAGGGCAAGCACAAACAAGATGAAGAAGAATTGCAGAAGGGACATGGAAGAGACTTAAGGGCCTCGGACATAAGGCTTCCAGGTTGATGGACTAGATGGAATGGACAGTAAGGACTGACACGACCCGAGACCAGGAAGAAGAGACGCTGAATGATGATTGAAAGAGAATTTATAATGGAAATTTTGTATTTTAGAATCAGCTTAATGAATATTAAGGAAAATGTGGGAATGAAACTATACGACTCTAGCAGAAATGTTATCAGGAGCTATGTATATTTGAAAACTAAGATTTAAGTCTTAAGGTACATAGGGGTAAGATAAGGTTAAATAAATTAAGATAATTTGAATAACAGAATATGGGGAAAGATGGAAAGGATTTGTTGAGTTAATTATTAGGTTAAATTGTTAAGATAAATTTTATAACAAAAATTGAGAAAGATGGAAAGAATTTGCTGAAATAATTATCAAACTAGAATACAAAAAGGGAGGTGTGAGGAGGTCAATGAAACAAGCAAATGGAAATTATGGATATGCAATTTGGGATTTGTGGTTTTTTTCTCCTTTTTTTTCTTCTTCTTTATTTTCTTTTGCTGTATTGTCGTATATTTTGTGCTTTTCTCTTTATTTATTTATTTTTTTTCTTCTTTTTTTGTATTGTAGTGTTGTTGTTTTTTATTTTTTATTTTTCTTGTAATCTTGAAATTATCAATAAATATTATTTTTTTAAAAAAACAAACTGATTCTAAGCCAAAGGCCAGGTGGAACAACTCTGTCTTACAGGCCCTGCGGAAAGAAATCAGATCCCGCAGGGCCCTGGTCTCATGAGACAGAGCATTCCACCAGGCAGGAGCCAGTGTTGAGAAGGCCCTGGCTCTGGTTGAGGCTAATCTAACTTCCTTAGGGCCCGGGACCACTAGGGTGTTGTTATTTATGGACCTTGAGGCTCTCCGTGGGGCATACCGGGAGAGGCGGTCCCGTAGGTATATCAGTTATACATGCATGCATACTTCCTAGGAACAGTTGCCTTAAAAATAAATCAATTGATAACAATTTACAAAGTTCACACTTTGGCTAGTATTGCAACTACTCATTATATTGCTAATTAATTGTTTGCAGCAGTGCATTTATTAAAAATTGATTTTTTTTCCTGTAGGAAAATACAGCAGAGGAACAATTCTGGCTGTCAGTGTGAATAAAATATATTAATTCTAGACTCCCTGGGATACTCCTTTCATTCAATATTTACACTAACATAAAAAAACTCCACCCCAATTTCCATGCTGTTCAGTAAAAAAAACAACTACTGATTGTATGCATGCTCGTATTAATTTATTTAAAACCTGTTTCTTTCTTTGAATCAGAAGAAGTGCAATCTCTCCAAATGATCTTCCCACCATTGATTCCTAGTGGTATCATAAAAAGGAGACTCTTTGTACCTTCACAAATTTTAAAGAAACACATGCCCTCATGATTTCAACATTTAGAATTACTTTGTATATTTTATTCAGACGAGTCAAGCGCTGGCAGGAATCCAGTTTCCGTGGTCCAAGTTCAGAAGAATGCTAAGGGCAACATGCTGATTTCTTTTAAGATACGCTTAATTGCAGTGGTGATTCACGAATGCTTAGGAATCCAGGAATGTAGGATAACTTCAAACACACTGTATATGAGCGGTGATTTTGTGTTCTTAATGAAGCAACAATGGAAACCTGAGCTATATGAGGCATCCTCTTTTGTGATACTAGACTTGACACACCAGTTATTCATGTCACTGCAGAATTAGTACACACACATATCCAGGCAAGAATTCTCCAAATTAGTCACACCCAATGGATTAATCAAAGAGCATCTAAATTGCATTAGAGGTGAATGATTGCATAATAGTATCTATTTTGAAATGGATATGAGTGCTGCCATGCTTAGACATTCACCCGCAGATGGTCCACTTGACTGACTTTTCACCCCACCCTGTTTGGTTTATCACCTGCCTGGTGGTAACAGATGAGCAATAGTGGAGTTTTTTTTAACAGATCTGCCCTGGCAGCAGGCCCTCTTGGTTGCATTGGGATTTCTCAGTGGTGAACTCCTTAGTGAAGCCAATTCCAGTGGAGAATGCTGTCAAGTGAACCCAGCTTGCCAAAGGACAAACAGGAGCTCATGTGGTTGTACTTGTTTCATTTTATTTATTACCCACCCTTTACTGGCAGGTCCCAGCAATCTAAAACCCAGAATTAAAAACAGTTAAAACAGGTTAAACTCACAGCAAAAGGGTGAGCCCTGGCAACACGCATGTCAGATGTCAAAGGTCAGAACAAAGGGGTGTGTCTAAGCTCCCACTTGTACATTCTTAGATCACCCATTTCCTGTCCCAATGAGAAAACAAGGTCCTAATGCATGTCCATGCTACATGTGTTGGACCGATGACATGTTGAGACATCCCTGTAGTTGTAATAGTAGCCATAATGTTCTGATCTGCCCCAGAATTAATGGCCTTATAGTGTGAACATCAATGTCCCCCAGTATCGATAGCCTGGGGTTGCTCAATATCATGTTCAAGACCAGCTCCGTACGCTCAGGGTGTTGGACAAAGGGAAGGATGGTATGGCAAAAGAATCCTCAATGTGTCTCATTGTCTCAGTACAAGGTGCAAACACTCTAGACACGTACCCATCTGGATAGGAAGCAAGGGGGGGGGAGAGAAATCAAATTCCTATGGTCCATGGCAAGGCTTTCAAATCTTTCTTGATGCTGGACCAAGTACCTTGGCGTACCAGCTGAGGAATAATAACTCCTTGCTGCTCACCCACCGAGGTCTTGGTTATATATGGCTTGACTACCGTAATTCGCTCTACGTGGGGCTGCCCTTGAAGCTGTCCCAGAAACTCCAGCGGGTGCAGAATGCAGCAGCGAGGCTCCTCACGGGGTCTCCCCCATGGAAGCGTATTCACCCAGTGCTTTTCCAGCTGCACTGGCTCCCGGTCGAGTACAGGGTCAGATTTAAGGTGCTGGTTTTGACCTTTAAAGCCCTTCACAGCCTAGGACCCTCGTACCTATGGGACCGCCTCTTCCGGTATGCACCACAGAGAGCCTCAAGGTGCATAAATAGCAACACCCTAGTGGTCTCAGGCCCTAAGGAAGTTAGATTAGCTTCAACCAGAGCCAGGGCCTTTTCAACTCTGGCTCCGGCATGGTGGAACGCTCTGCCTCATGAGACCAGGGCCCTGCAGGATCTGATTTCTTTCCGCAGGGCCTGTAAGACAGAGTTGTTCCGCCTGGCCTTTGGCTTGGAGCCAATTTGATTCCCTCCCTCTCTTTCTTTTTTCTTTTCCTTCTCCTCCTGCGAGGAGGCTACATTTTAATATTTTAATGTTTCAATATTTTAATGTTGTATTTTAATTTTGTTTTTAAGTTGTAATCATTCATCTTGTTTTTATTATTGCTTGTATTATTGCTCTGAGCCCGGCCTTGGCTGGGGAGGGCAGGGTATAAATTATTATTATTATTATTATTATTATTATTATTATTATTATTATATGCCAGATCAACCTTATCCATAACTGAGTTGTGGATAGGAGAGATTCGACCCAGTGAGGGCTATGGCTGAAGGAATTTCACTCCCAGCCCCACTAATACTCTCTTCCTTTCTGCTTCTAACTGAAAGCCCATCTGGTTGCATATCTCTCCTCTACATGCCTTATTTATGCTTGCAAATTTTATTGGATTAGGAGCCCTGTCCAATAAGGTTGGTGGTAACCCTGGGGCTGTTTCACAAATCAGAATTTTAACAGGAAACAGATTTGTTTAGTGTTCTTTTATCATGGTTCATCTCCAAGTCACCAAATATTGAGGTTTTTCTTTTTTGAAAATGTGCAAGTTTTGAGCATGATATCCTTGATTATCTAAGGACTGTTCTAGATGGCCTGTTTAGACCTTTTTAGAGGTAATTCCAATTTGCTTGTACAAAGCTTATATGGTGACTAAAGTATGTCTGGGTTTTACTGAGCATCCGTTCTGATTATTTCACAGGGTGGTTGGTTATATGATAACAAGCATTCATTCTGATTTGCTTATGGTGTATTTTACATGTCTTCTTGTTAATCATATATTTATTCCACACTTTTCAGTCTATTCCCCCCTCACTTTCTTTTTCTTTTTAAAAAATATTATTACAAAGAAAAATACTTTGTGTGTGTGGAGTATGGCCTTATAACATCCCCTACTTTCACATTCCAAAACAGGATAAAACTCACCTAATTAATAACAGCGTTTATGCAATGTAGCAAAGTCTCAAAACCTGAAAAATTATTTCCCCCTCACTTTCCATACAGCCAAACAGCAGGTTTTTTTTTGTTTTGTTTAAAGTGGATCTGGTGTGCTGGGGTGACAGGGCACTTTCACTCACTTTAATTGTGCAAATCTAAAATTCTGGTGTGTGTGCACTTCCGGGGTGGCACCACCAGCAATGGCGGACTCCCTCTGAACTGGAGGGACTGGCTCCGCGGTAAACAGGGTCTACTCTGCTACGGCGAAGCAGGGACCCCTTCAAAATCACAGGCGGATGAAGCCTGTGACCGTGGGACTCGGCGGGCACCTTTAGCTCCCCCCCAATCCGCTAAGGAACCCACTAATGGGCTCCGAAGTGAGGAGGGGGAAGTGGCGCGGTGCTGTGAGTCAATCGCTATTTCTGTGGAGCGAAGCCGCATAGCTGTTGCCGGAGAGCGCTGCCTTTTTTCCTGGGACAATTTGGACTCTAAAACAAGCACCCGTGAGTACTTAGAATTTGAACAATTGGATATCAAACAAAGATTTGTGAGAAGGACAGAATCGGACTATAAAAAAAAAAATCTATTGAATTTGGTACGGAGCGGGAAGGGCTAAACAGGAAGTCACCCTTCCATTCTTTTGTAAACAGAATAAAGCAAAGGCAATTTACACTAGAGCTCAGAAAATCGTCTTTAAAAGAGTGGATTTCAACATTTTAAATTGGGAATCTTTTTTTGGACTATTTGAAGTAACTGTAAAAGGAAGTAATTTTCCTCCGTCCTGATCCTGGAGCAGGGTGTCAGGACTGACGTGAGTTTACCAAGACAATCGCTTTTTGACAGACAGCTAAAAGAAGAGAAACTTTGTGATTCCACTGTTCCCTCTCGCATTCTAAAGGAATATATATGGACAAAGTATCTCAAGTACTTTGGAAAAAAAAAGGAAACTTTGTAACAAGAATAAACATAAGTCTTCCCCCTAGGGGGAGCTTGTGAAACTGTAACTAACTCCAGGGAATTGACAGCTGTTACAAAATAATTGTGGGAAAGTATTTGACTTTGCAGGACAATGTACTCAGAAGCCTTGGTGTGTGCTTTTTACAAAACAAATGCTTTACTGGAAGAATTACACGATAAGGTGAACTGGATGGTCATTTCGACTAGAAATCTTAAACAGGCAGTGGAATGTTTTGACCAGACTGTGGGAAAACATGTGGAGCCCACTCAGGATTCAAACCAGGAGTGTGTTTTGATAGAACAGGAGTTTGTGGTATTAAATCAGGAGTGTGTTTTGACAGAACAGACCCAACAGGAGTATGATCCTTCGGACTGGACAAATGAATTTGGAAAAAGCCAGATCTCGAAAGGAAAAGTTTGGTGTGGTTTGGAAATGGGGGGCTGGATTGACCCCCCTATGTTGGGATGTCTGGACTTTTTAAATATGGTAATGGGCTGGGAAATGCTTGGGATTGTGGGGGCTCTCAACTTTGGAGGGCCCTTGAAACATGCTTTTAAATACTATATGGAATGCAGCGATGAATACGGAAAAGGGTCTGATCTGTCGAGAAGGGTTAAAAACATTATCAAGTTGGAGCTACCACGAGCAAGAGACATTGTCAAGCTGGAGTTACGACGAGTAGGAGATAAGGGAAATTACAGTTATAAATATGAAGAAGAGCTGCGGAAGGGCCATGGAAGTGACCTGAGGGCCTCGGACATAAGGTTACTGGGCTAGACTGATGGGAATAAGGGCTGACAAACCCCGGAACCAGGAGGAAGGGACGTTGGATAAAGATTGGACTTGTTTATATCTTTTTTTTCTCTTTCTTTATTATTAGAATGTTTCATAAAGTTGATGAATGATAGAAAAATGTTGGAAGAAATTACCTAGCTTTAGTAAAGATGCTTAAAGAATTATGAAAGAATATTATGATTATAAGAAGCTGGTAAGGTTAAGACTTAAGTTTTAAACTTTAAGGTTTATTTTATTATAGAAAGATAGGATTAAAATAGTCTAGGGTAATGTAATGATAGAATTTTATGAAACATGGAAAGGAAAGGATTTGCTGGGATAATTAATAACTAGGATACAAAGGAAGGGAGGAGGAGGAGGTCTAAGAAAGAAGGCAATGACAGTTAAGGGTCTGAAAATAATGAACTTGTTTTTAAATGTTTTTTTTTTAAAAAAAAAAACCTTGGGATTTTTGTAATTTTGTCACTTTTTTGTTTTTTATTTGGAATTTTCTTTTTTTCTTCTTTTTTTTCCTTTTCATTACTTTCTTCTTTTTGTAATATTTTGAAAACTCCAATAAATATCTTTAAAAAAATAAAATAAAATTCTGATGTGCGCATGAATCCCTCCTGGAAAGAACTGGCAGTCTGGAGGAGGCATGCTAAGGATCGTACAGGGTAATTGTTCCATAAGCAAATAACCTGACAGATTTGCCTGGATAGAGAGTGGAATGTAGGAGGAGACTTCCTGAAATTTGTTAAGTAAGAGAGGTGTGTAGCTCTGAGTCACTTGTTATACACTTGTTCATCTTCCTTAACTGGTTCAAAGTCTCTATGAATGCTTCAAGGATCCTTCTCAGTTTTGGACTCTGAGGTCAAAGCACCACCTGCAGTGTACACATCCGAGATTTATATGGGTTCACCAGCCAATATTCTTCTGGTAAGGAATGTCTTCAACATTAGCTTTATTGCCTTGAGTGAGACAAACGAAATAATTATTGTGACTGTGATGAAAGAGGGACTGCAAACTCAGTAAGCAAAGTATACCTAACTGTATACTTTTATCAATTTTGCATCTCACAGACTGGTAACCAACAGATTTCATGCTTGAAGGGTATTCTTTTTCAAATATGTCAGAACCTACATACTGCAAACAAGGATGGTGTCTGGCAGGCAGGCAGGCATCTCAGTGCAGAATCACTGTAGAATTGCTGTGCTTACCTTACAAATCTTTCTATGTTGGTTCTACCACAGGTATGTAATATAGCGTAACTAAAAATAATGTGTTTGTAACTTAGATCCATTGAGATTCTGTTTTGCCTCCTAGGACCCAAACACTAAAACAAATACATATGGAAATGGAGAAGCAAAGAGGAAGTTTTTTGGAACTGAAAATCCATATGGGGCTGAAAGTCAGGTATCAGACAATGTATGTGTTTTTATTGCATGCCCTAACTTTGTCATTATACCTGATTGAATCTTTTCATATAATCATTCTAGGGCTCTTAATATGTGAGTATAACATACAGTTTTGAGGGGTCAGTACCTCAGCTAACAATATATTACCTAATATCCCTCAGGAATATTATAGTGCAAGTAATTTGGCGTGTTGCCCATTGTTTTGAGGAATCTAGTTTCTACCTACATATCATAAGTATATTGTTGTAAGAAGTATGATCTCCTCCCTTTCTAGCAGGACTACCTATGGAATAAATGCTGTGTGTGTTACACAAACTCATAGTGGAACGTGCCTGTGATACCACTGATGGCAAAGCTACACAGCGCTCCCATGACCTCTACCCTCTGTGACTGTAAAGCTAGCGGCTCATATTGCCGAAAGGGAACTTAATAGAGGATCTGTAGTCAAGGCAAAGTGCAGAGAAGCTGTAAGCCATTTTCATCCTCAACATTTCCAATTTCTCCTTGAGACTTATTGCTAAGTGCTTTTCAAACATTTTAAAAAGGTTTGTTTTTAAAAAATAAAAGCTGGTGTCTGTTAGTGCTCATGATAATGAACTAGATGGCCCAATTATTTAATTTGGTATAAAGCACCTTTATACGTCTGTGTGCTTGGGAACCTTGCAAAAAGTTAGGTCCTCTCTCATGCAGAGAGAGCTATCAGCATACAAGTTGTTCATGTGTGGGCTTGGTGGTGCCTGCAGGCCCACTCAGTGTATGGAAGTTGGGGAGATAGGGGCAGTGGGTGCCAGTGGTGTGCAGTCAGTTGACTAGGGGGACTAGGCTAATTGCCTAAATGGTCCAAGAGCCCTCCCGCCACCTTCCCAAAGCCCACCTGGCTTTAGGAAGGAGGCAGCAGGGCCCTGGCATCTCCTTTCCAGTGTCCAGGAAGCTTCTGCCCGGCTTAGGGAGCTGCGATGCTCACACGCACAACGTCGGGGACATCGTGACGTCACCCCCCCATTGCCCTCACAAGCTGGCACCTCTGCCCCTGTTTCCCGATGAAACATTTCACTGCACACCACACACTGGTGGGTTCAATCTCACAGTTTTGAATGGCCTACAAGGTGCTCTAGAATTCTTACTGATTTGAAACTTTGTTAGGGCTTCACCAGACTTTGCTTTGAAATTAGTTTCAGGTCATATGTAAAACTCTCTTGGCAGGCCTAATGCTCTGATCTTTTCTTTGCCAAAATCACTGAATGGGGGAAACAGCTGTACAGCAATTCCTCTTTCAAATTATGTTGCTGTAATGCAGCTGACCTGTTTTTCTCCTGGGGTGTGGCCACTGTCGCTTGGAGACAGATTCTAGGAGCCACAGGTGACAGCTGAGTGCAGGGTGAGGACAAAAGGTGGACAAACTATCCCAGAAGGAGCATGATGTGTCCCGCACCAAAGGTTCTACCCTGCTAACATAGTGCTTTGACTTGACCCCCAGAGGTGCACTCCATTGTCTCTCAAGACATCGCTTTCAACTCACTACATTTCAAAGCTTAAAGAGGCATCTTTTGCTTTTTGCCACTACTGTTCCTTCTAGGCATTTCACTGGTGCCTTTGCATTGATTTTGCAGCAGCTTCTCTTCCTGCCTCTCTGACAACATGAATCACCTTCCTCCATCACCTTTCTTTCTGCCTGCCCCAGGGGAATCTCCTCTTCCCTGCAAACAGTGGAAGCTGTTTGTTTGTGATTATTCTCTTACCACCCAGACAAATAACATAAGCCCTGCCAAACAAAAGGCCTTAATGCTTCTTTGTTTGGGTGCAAAAGACCAGAGAGAGGTCTTATTCCCATCTACCCTTCACTACTGCTGTGACTCAGGATGCAAATCCTTATGAAATAGCTCTTCAGACCTTGAACGATCTTCCTCCTTCCTGCTTCCTCAATGTGGTGTCTGAATATTATAAATTTTATTCAAGTGTTCAAGTACCAGGGGAGCTGATTAGATGTAACACCACTACATGCTACTTGAGTGCTACTTGTGATGCGCAGCTGAGGGCATGCTGCTTAAAGAGGGCCACATTGTCCTTCATCCAAATTTCAGGAGAAACAGCTAATGGAAAGGAAGCTTACTTTCAACACAGTTGTTAATAGCTCGAAAGACTGAGAATGTCATTCAGTGGTCCAAATGGCATCACCAACGTCTCAGGCTTCTCAAGTCATGGATGTGCAGGTAGTTCAAGGCAGTATCTTCAAGTAAAAAACCCCCCACTTCAGTACTGTCAAGCAAGGCAAATTTACAGGGCCTGGTGGCAGTAAGGAGAATATAGTTAAGAGGGAGGGGATCATAATCACATTTCATAAGACCCTGTATAGAAGAAGGATGAGCAAACCCTGTTGGGGGAGGAGAGAAGTGGCAAGCTCTCTAAAAGGGGTGGGTAACGTGTGGCCCCCCAGATTGTTGTTGGATTACAGCTCCCATTGACCTTGTTCATTGGGGCTAATGGAGAGTCAGCCTGCCAGTTCTCCAACTCTTCTCTGTAACTTTTGTCCAATGGCATTTTATTTATGTGGGTGTATTTTATCTCTTAGGGACGCGGGTGACACTGTGGTGTAAACCACAGAGCCTAGGGCTTGCCGATTGGAAGGTTGCGGTTCGAATCCCCGCGACGGGGTGAGCTCCCGTTGCTCGGTCCCTGCTCCTGCCAACCTAGCAGTTCAAAAGCATGTAAAAGTGCAAGTAGATAAATAGGTACCGCTGCAGCAGGAAGGTAAACGGCGTTTCCATGCGCTGCTCTGGTTTCACCAGAAGCGGCTTAGTCATGCTGGCCACATGACCCGGAAAAACTGTCTGTGGACAAACGTCGGCTCCCTCAGCCAGTAAAGCGAGATGAGCGCCGCAACCTCAGAGTCGTCTGCGACTGGACTTAGCTGTCAGGGGTCCTTTACCTTTACCTATTTTATCTTTTACTACTGTGCTTTTGTGATATCTGTTACTTTTTCTTCTTCTTCATGGTGAACTGCCTTGAGCGTTGCCCAGGGAAAGGAAGTAAATTCACTTTAAGTTTTCCTTATATATTTCTCCGTTCTCCACTTTGCCTTTCAGGTACAGGTACCTCCCTTCTGTTTGCTCTCTGTACGTGTTATAAGAATTAGAAATCTCCAGCGAGCAGATGTGTGTGAGTATCTGGCAGATCCTGAGTAGGTATAAATCTGGCTCAGAAAATGCTGGCATATAAATATGGATTGATTTAATATTAAGATCCTTTTTAAATATTGATTTTAAATTTTTATATATTTAATGATATTTAAATAAATATATTTAGTGAAAAACATTTAATGAAAATTTCATTCATTTTATGTTGTTACTGTTTAATGGACGCCACGGTAGTCATTAGCACTGTAAGCTCTGTTGACATGTTTGTGTTGCTTGGCCAGATTCAGTTAGACAGATGTGCTAGCAGGAGACAGTGCAATAAGTCACCTTAAGATGGGGCTTTCCCCCATCTCCTTCCACCATGCACCCCCCAGACCCCCCAAAATTGGCTCTGAAAGGTCAGAAGAACCCCCAAACAGTGTGCAGGGGGAGAAGAGAGGAGATTGCTCTGTGTGGGAAGCAGAAATACCTGTGCTGCCATAACATAGCACAACAACGTGGAATTCCTCCCAAAATTCCTTGCCTGCCTATGCTGTCTGTTGAGAAGGAAAAGGCAGATGCTACTCTTTGCATTATGAAATATAGCATTTAGAACACCGATTGCAATAGCCACTAACAAGCTTTCCCATGTTATCTGTAGTCATAGTATCATTTCAAAAAACATGATCCTGTAATTATTTATTTGCCAGAAGAGCAGCCTGGTATTCAACAGGATTTAGATAGGAAAATGATTAATAGGACTGACTTGTTTAATATCTTGATCCTAATACCGTGAACATGAGATATTCCAAATTACAAGGTGTATGTTAGAAGGACAACAATCTAGGGCTTAACTCCCACCATTCCTGACCACTGGGCATGCTGGCTGGGGCTGATGGGAGTTGGGGTTCAACCAATCCACTCACCTTCTATGGTGGGCGGTGTTGCGGCCAGACCACAGTGATCCAACCAATGGCTGGTTGGATTGCCCTGCTGGCAATTGGCCAATGCCATCAGTCTTAGGACAGTTGTTCCCTGGGGAGCGGGCCCACCTGAGCAATGAGCAGCACTTGGGCCCGCTCTCGGGGGGGTGGGATAAATTGTGGCCTGCCTGGCGCTCTTCCTCTGCCTTTTAACATCCGGGGTGGAGGACACAGGTACACCAACCATGTTTTAATTGATAGAGGACACTATATTTCTAGATATAGCACTTTGTAAAATAAGAGAGTCTCTGTCTTTTTGAGACTAAATGACTTAACCCCCCCCAAAACAAACACATAGTAAGACAAATTGATTGTTATGTAAGTACTCAATTCACAGTCAAGAGCTTCTTTATTGCTTGACACAAGCATTTCTGTTACTATTATATACAACCTATTTACATTCCTTGTTTATCTCTCCAACACGGTATAATCTCAGTCTAGTAATTAACAATGCTGACACAGCAAAACTCACAGTATCAGCAGCACACATTGTCTTACTTCTAAACTTGTTGTCAGTGTGTGTGTGCTTTCCTTGTGCGGAAATTGCAGCCTGCAACTTCCTCCCTTTATTTGCACCTCCAGCTGACACCAATCAAGCCTAGAGTGCCACTCCTACACACTAAAGAAAAGTTCTGGAACTCTCTTTAAAGCTTCCAGGAACTTTTATCTGTTTCGTAAAGAATGTTTTCCTAACATTATTTGCTCGTGGCCAGATAAAAAACATCTCAAATAGCAGTAATCCAGCCTGAAATGAAACCTTCTCTTTTAGAATACAGAGTATGGTGAAGGTGAGGTGAGAATACATTGTAATTGGTTTTAACTGGTTGTTGTTGTTTTTAAAACATGCAGTAAGTCCAAGTGATTGTTACATAAGTTTGAGGTTACCGACAGCTTCCTATGGTAATACCCGGACGAAAGCCATCTCAAATAGTAGCGATCCAGTCTGGAATGAAACCTTCTATTTTAGAATCCAGAATGTGGTGAAGGTGAGGTTTTCACTGGTTGTTTTTATTGATTTTAGTAAAAAGAAAAAAAAATACCTACCATGTTGATAAGTACAACAGCAGGGATCATTTAGTTTGTAACTAGAGGGTTAATTCTGTTATCAGTAAGTCAGCTAAGCCAGAAGGGCTGGAGGAGGAGGTGTTGCTTAGCTACCAGAGAGATCTTCCCTGAGGCAACATGGCCCCTGGGTGTGTAGTTCTGAGTGAGTTTTCCTCTATATGTTTTGCTGACCAGCTCCCTGCACTGCACAAGGCCTTAACTAAGAATGACAAAATAACAGAATCATAGATTTGTAGTGGCATCACAGTTTCATGAGGGGCCTCCAGTCAACAATAAATTCTTGGAGAAAGCCGGGTTTTCAATGTGGAAAGGTAATTCCCTTGCACTCATTTATCCAGATCTCTCTCTCCCCCCCTTTTCTTTTGTATTGGATATGTCTTATAATCCTGTCACATATTTCTCAGCTGAGGAGAAACAGCTAATCCTCTGCCCCCTCGGTCAACAGTTGCCAGCTCCCAAGTTAGCCTTCACTTCTTTTTCCATCCACATTTCAGTTAATCAGCCTCTTTGCCCAGTAGTGGTGGCAGGGCAGAAATAGCCTCAAGATGGTGCTGGGCCTTGGTGCACAAAAGTTCCCTGATCAAGAGCTGCATCCTCTTCACAGAATCATAGAATTGTAGAGTTGGGAGGGATCCTGAGGGCATCCAACTCCCGCAATGCAGGAATTTCAACTAAAGCATCTATGACAGATGGCCATATAACATCTGCTTAAAAATCCCAAATGAAGGAGAGTCCACAACCTCCCAAGGGAGTCCATTCCACTGTTAAACAGTTCATACTGTCAGAAAGTTCTTTCTGTTTAGTCGGAGTCTCCTTTCTTGTAACTTGAAGCTAATGGTTTGGGTTCTAGCCTCTGAAGCAGGAGAAATCTTGCTGCATTTTCATGACAGCTCTTTAGATATTTGAAAATGGCTATCATATCTCCTCTCAGTTTCCTCTTTTCCAGGCTAAACATATCGAACTCCCTCAACAGTTCCTCATAAGCCTTGGTTTCCAGACCCTTGATCATCTTGGTTGCCCTCCTCTACATATGTTCCAGCCTGTCAATATTCTTCTTAAATTGTGGTGTCCAGAATTGGACACAGTATTCCAGATGTGGTCTGACCAATGCAGAATACAGTGGTTCTATTAATTCCCTTGATCTGGACACTATACTTCTGTTGTTGCAGCCTAGAATAGAATTTGCTTTTTTTTTTTTTTACTGCTGCATCACAATGTTGACTCATGTTAAGCTTGTGCTCTGCTAAGACCCCTACATCCTTTTCACATGTATTACTTGCAAGCCAGGTGTCCCCCCCAACTTATATTTGTGCTCTGGTTCTTCCTGCCTAAGTGCAGAACCTTACATTTGTCCCTGTTGAAATTCATTTTGTTAGTTTGGTCCAGTCTGTTAAGGTCCTCTTGAATTCCAATTCTGTCTTCCATGATGTTAGCTACCCCTCCCAGTTTGGTGTCATCTGCAAATATGATGAGCATCCTCCCAATTCCTTTGTCCAGGTCATTTATAAAAATGTTGAAGAACAATGGGCCCAGGACAAAACCCTGCGGCATCCCACTTGTCGCTTTTTCCCAACATAATAAGGAACCATTAGTGAGTACTTTTTGGGTTCAGTCAGTAAACCAGCTACAAATCCAGCTACTTCTCTGTTCCTTTCTCCTCAAATTATTACCCTTCCTCCCTGTTTCCTCAATAAAGTGTTGTCAGGTTTCTTTTCTGTCTGGATTCCCACAGTGACTTATGAAAGAGTATCACAATAAAATCATGTTTGTATGTATTAGATGAATAGTGACTGTCCTTACCTAAGTTATCTTGATAACCGCAGTGATGTGTCATGTGGGAACAGCTCCCACATATGCTTTGCATATGAAGGAGGCCTGAGTGTGGTTCGAAGTATATGCTGAAAAAGTCACCACAGATCTAAGCAAGTTTCATAATTTTCATTAGTCTCTCTTAGATCAGATTTCTAAATAATCTCCTGGGACAGCTCTAAACTCTAATTATAGGGAGCATACAACTCATTTTTCGCAATAGCTCCACTGGGTACCAGTTCATTCCAGGCACAATTTGAAGTGATGGTTATGACCTATAAAGCTGTCTACGGCTTAAGGTCCTAGCTATCTGAAACACCATATTCCGTCATATGAACCTGTGTGGGTTATGTGATCTTCGGGGCAGGCCCTTCTCTTGGTCCTGTAACTCTCACAGACATGCTCCCTGTGAAATGCCCACTTTTTAGATGTCAAGGAAATAAAGAACTATATAACTTTTAGAAGACACCTGAAGGCAGCCCAGTTTAGAGAAGTTTTTAATGTTTGATATTTTATTATGTTTTATATATGCTGTAAGCCACCAAGAGTGGCTGGGTAAACCTAGCCGGATGGACAGGGTATAAATAATAAAATTATTATTTATTATTATTATGTGACAGAGGGCCTTCTTGGTGGCTGCTCCCAGATTTTGGAACTCCCTCCTTAGAAATAATAATAATAATAATAATAATAATAATAATAATAATAATAATAATTTATTTTTCATACCCTGCCCATCTGGCTGAGTTTCCCCGGCCACTCTGGGAGGATCCCAATTGAGTGTTAAAAACAATACAGCATTAAATATTAAAAACTTCCCTAAAAGGGGCTGCCTTCAGATGTCTTTTAAAGATAAGATAGCTGCTTATTTCTTTCACATCTGAAGGCAGGGCGTTCCACAGGGTGGGCGCCACTACCGAGAAGGCCCTCTGTCTGGTTACATGTAACCTCACTTCTCGCCATGAGGGAACCACTAGAATTCCCTCAGAGCTGGACCTCAGTGTCTGGGCTGAACGATGGGGGTGGAGACGCTCCTTCAGGTATACAGGACTGAGGCCAGTATTAGACTGGGTCCCTCCTTGTTGTCTTCCTGCAGGCTTTTGGGAACTGACTGCTTTTAATGAAAGGGGTTGTGCTGTGATGTTTTTATTGTAATTATCTGCATATTTTTGAATAGATCTTTTCTGTGCTTTTTTTTCTGGGGGATGCAGGGGTATGCATACCCCTAAACATTTTGTGAACTTACGTTTGGCCTCATTGAGGGGCAGTATTTCAATATGAGTAGGAAAATGAGAGTACCCCTGTTAGATTTCCAAGGGGTTGCTCGTGCGCAAGCAGGCAAATCTCTCCCTGGCTGGCTGCTAATGTAAACTTTATCTGTCCGGAGAGCCACTCACCCGTGGCTAACTCAATCGCTGGCAGAATCCGTGAGTGGGCGTTTCTTAAACTTCTTCCAGCAAAGAAGCTCCTTGATGCCTAGTCTCCGCCTTCCCTCTCTGCGTGAAAGCCTTCTGCTCAGAGAGGGCGTGGGCAGCGGAGGACCCCTTCCTTCCCCGCTTGTCCCAGGCAAGGAGTCATGGAACCGCCTCGCCACTTCCGACTCCCGCACCCCCTCTCCACTGGAGCTGCGTTTATTCTCTTCCCCAGAAGAGGAGCTGCTTCTCCCGATCCCTGGAGGCTCTCTATAATCCCTCTGGCTTTTGCTCTCTCCCTCTGGCACTGATGGCAGTTCCCTGACAACCCCTAAACATTTTTTTAAAGAAAAAAAGGCACTGGATCTTTTAAACTTATATATAGTTTCAATTATATAATTTTTAAATTGTTCTTAAATTATTGTTTCCCTCCCCTATGTTTTTAGCTGTTCCTATTTCATCTGTAAGCTGTCTTGAATTCCTGTCATGGAAAAAGACGGGGTATAAATAAATATATAGCAATAATAATTACAACAGTGATGTGTAATTTCTGACGTTTCCAGCATCACTTTCATGGGGAGCAGAGTTCTAATTAGTTTAATCAATGTAAAGATGAAGCAAAAGATATTCAATCTAAGGCTTTGTTTTGAAGATCTAGGTGCTGCTATCTTGGGATGGATTTGGGAAGATTCCTCCTACATGGGGACACAGTGAGCTTTTAAAAGTAGTTAAGTGATGGTTGAGTATCTTTAGTGTGTTTTAGCAGGGTTGTGAGTCATGTTACCATTAAATGTTCCTCCTGTGCCTAAAGCAACCAATTATTTTACTCCCTCTCTTCTTCCTGAACCAACCGATTGTCATGCACTGCCATCATGACCCATTTTTCATTCCTTATCGTCATGGAAGACGAGCAGGATAAATTTTTATGATGTGTCAAGAAGAGGTGATTGCTCTGGTGCTCAGAAGTCAATACTACAACACCCACCATTCCAAAGACTCCTTTGAATACCCCAAGCATACACTAATGCTGCCTGTCTTCAAAATGGTTTTGCCCACCACACACTGACTAATTTTCCCTATTCCCTAGAATGTACTAGAACTGAAAGTATGTGATGAAGATACTCCCTTCAGGGATGACCAGCTTTGCACAGTTCTTTTTGATATAGCTCAGCTCCAGCCTGGTGACACAGTCTGCAGGCATTTTGAACTGAACCAACAGGTGAGAGACAAAATTATATGTACAGTTTGGGAGGATGGGATGCAGACTAATAAGGGCTTCTTTGAAATATCCTGTAATTTATAGTTAATTAGTTTAGTGTATACTATTGTTTCTCATTCTTTCAGTGTCCCTATTTAAAACCTGCCATGCAGAGTAATTTTCCAGACTTTTTATCTTTTCATTATATATATTGTACATGTCTATAGTTTATACATGTCTGTCGTTTCTGTTCTCCTCTGTAATTCATTCTGTGATATTTGTCAGAGTGGTTTTCAAAATGGCTTATTGTAGGCATCATTTTCTTAAAGGCTTTTTTTAATAGTTTGGTGCCTTGTTTTAGAGATTGGTTGGAAAACCCAACTTTGGATTCACAGCAATGCATATAGGCAAATATATCAGTTACTTATAGAAATTTTCAATCAGAAACCAACTAGGCATGCCAGCATACCTGTCAACTTACAGATTTGAAAATAAGGGACCAGCAGCCTCGAAAATAAGGGATCAGCAGCCAAAATAAGGGATTTTGGCTTAGCTTATACATAAATCCGCCACTGATGGAGCCATGCTGCTTTGGCTGCGACTGACTGTGTTTTGCAGGGGGTTGGACTAGATGATCCTAAGGGTCTACAACTCCCACCAAAGAAGGGTGGCAGACAAAACTGATGAACGACATCGAGATGGCAAAGCTTACAGGCAGAATTAAAAACCAGGAAGAGGACCTCTTTAATAAAGAATGGGGAAAGTTTATAATTTAGTTGAAAACCTATTGTAAAGAGTTACATACATTGGTAGGATTGACAAAAAACTTGTAGTAAAAATTTGAACTATGGATGGACAAATGATTTATAAAAATAGAGTTATGAAAGGGATGCAGGGGGGGAAATCACTACATTAAGATGCTGCACTGGTTGGAGGGTATGCTAAGCAGCACGTCGGGGCTGCCGTCGTCCTGGCGCGAGGAGTTCCATTGGCCCTTCCCCGCCTGGGGGGGGGGAAGGGAGAGAGACTCTCACCCACGCCGCCTGCTAGCCCGGCATGAGCCGGTTGCGGCGCCACAGTGGCCGCTGAAGCGCCACCCTTCTGCGTCCCTCCCCATCCCCTCCTCTTCCTCCTCCCTCAGGCCGCCTCCTCAGCCGCTGCTGCTGCCTCCGGCTTCCCCTGGCAGTGTGGCGGAAGTCTCGCAAGAGAGGGGCTGCCTGCCCGCCCGCAGCCACCCGTCTCCTCACGACGCGCCCCTGAGGGGGAAAAGGGAGAGACGGAGACACGACAGCTCGTGTGCGCGCTCTCTCTCGTGGCGGAGGACCCTGAGCCGCTGCTTGCCTCCTGAGCGATGCGTGCCAGTTTGACAAATTTGCATATGTATAAGGTCACACCTTCATGTAGCTTCTTGGAATTCTTCAATAAAAAATTATATATGGAAATTATTTAAACGTATGTAAAATGTAACTGAATTTCTTATGTCTTTATCATATGCCTCAGTTTTTGGACTATTGAGTTTATTGGGGTTTAGGATTCTTGTGTTTTCCCATATGAATTATGTAAGGGAGCCAGCTAGAACATCCCTAGAGTGGCACATTTACTCACCTTACCTGTTGTGTACAAAATATGTCCTGGTGCATTATAGAGGAACACATGATTCTGCTTTGCTGCATGTAATGGAACATCACCATCATCATTTTATTTGTATGCCGCCTTTCCATAGTTAAAACAATGCTCAAGGCGGCTTACAACATGACAAGATTTACATAATTACCAACGTAACAAAAGTCATAAGCAATAAATAAAACACATCAAAAAGCACACAACCAAAACAATTTCCACATAAAGCATAAAATCTAAAACTAAGAATGCAGCATTAATATCAATTACAATTTAAAACGACAGATAAAAAATAAAAGCAATTTAAAAAACAAAAACAGAGCCCAGATGGAAGGAGGCAGGCAAGGCCCCCAGGGGCAGGAACATACCTAAGCACATTGAAATAGATATTTGTTGCCAATGTAACAGGATACACATACAATTTTCAAAGGGGAAGGAATATCTTATAGGAAAGAGTTGCTTGCGAAGGAGCTCCCAGTGAAGTAGAACAGCATCAGTTCAGAAGTATATTTTTCAATGTTATTATTTTGAACATTTCCTTTCCTTTCTTTATGTTCCCTTTTCCAATGTCAGAAGGATGAGGTGCTGGAAGTGGAGTTCACTTTGGAACAGATGTGAGTAACACCTGAGATGACAAAGGGTATCAGTTTAATTTATTAAGTGTGGACCCAATGAAATTAATACATGCATCGTAATGGACGCTTTACCCTAGTAGGGGAAAAGGGTGGGTATTTGGCTCAGTTTGCATTTAAAGGCAAGTCTACCAAATTCACACTTTCTGAAACAATACATGAGCTGAAGCACAGCTGTACTTCAAAATTTTCCAAATCTTACAATGCAGTTCTATAGCCAAATAATGCATCCAAACTTTTCTTTCTTTTAATCAGGCCAGATTTGCCTGAAAGCCTTGCTACAAATGGAGTACTGGTGGTACGTTCTTTTGTATTCATACCTATTATACCTCTTATTTCTGAAGTTTTATATGGAAAGGTGGGTGTTTGAAATAAATAAGCAAATACTTCCTTGCCCAGGACGGCCGATCCTACCACTAGGCAGAGTGAAGTGGGCACCAATTCGTGAGAGGCCAACACATTTGCTGACCTGTCTGATGGCCTCCCTTTTGCTCTCAGACAGCTGCTTGAGTTCCATGCACAGACAATTCATCCAAAAGACAATTTTCCTCTGTTCCTGATCACCTGATGGGAAGCGAAGGGAGGGAAAGGGTGTTTTTTGGAAATATTAGCTGCCTGGGGGAGATGTCTCTTGAAGCCTGTACTCTCACCAATTAACTGATGTAATGAGTGGGTGTGGTTTAAGGAAAATTGCCTTGTGGGCCAAATTGGACCCCTTTGGGGGCCAAGATTGACCTGTGGGCCAGAGGTTCCCCAACCCTGTTCTGTAGCATCCTGGCTCTGACTCTATGGGCCTCAGTGCTGTGGGAGCTGCTTTAGGGGGGCTCCCGTTTGCCAGTTCAGTAGTTGTCTGATCACTAGCACCAGACTCAGAGTCAGGAACCTAGTTTGGTGGTGACTCTGTATTAATAATAATGATAATTTTATTATTTGTACCTGGCCCATTTGACTGGGTTGCCCCAGACTTGGTGTCTTCGTTACTGCTGGACTCTGGGGTCATGACAGTGAGGAGCCTCCGAGGATAGAACAATCTCTCCACTTCAAACTGTAGTTTTCCAGGACTTGGAAAGGAACTATATTACCCTAATTATAACACCTGTAAAGAGCTAAGAGCATTCAACAGTTTGTAATAAAGGACACTGCCAGGGCATCTGGTGTGAGTAGGTGTATGCTGACAAATGTTACCCTATTTTCTATATGAAACGTTGGAGGTCTGCAGTTGTTGTCTTTTACCTTGCAGTCTCGGGAACTTGGCTGTCTAAAAGTAGAGGTGTATGGAAGAGAAAAGAAGAAAAAAGCTAGAAGTAAGATTATTATTTTACCTCGCTAGCTATCAAGCACACAGTCCTCAGAGGACTTCAGTGCAGCCAGGATTGAAATTAGTATCAGGTTCATTGAATAAGGACTCAGTATACTTGGATCCAGCTTTAAACTCCCATCTCCATATCATGGGCTGATAATGTGCATGTTGAACACGTTTCATCAAACTAACTCTCCTCCTTTCCTTACTTAGCACAGAACAGGTGGTGGTACCCTTGATTCCTGGCATTTGCTGCAGAAAGTCTGGAAGCATAAGATGACATGTAAATGTTGCTCATTTTCCCATTAGCTCTGCAGACAGATCCTACTCTTGCTCCAACTAAAAATATGCTTTCTGTGTGCATGATTGCTTTCCACCCTCTCTCCTGAAACTACCAAAATCCACCTTTTTTTTTGCTGCAAAATTTTGCTGCTTCCGCATGTAGGGAATTGTATTCCCCCATCACAGCCTGCCAAACTGCACCCCCCCCTGCAGTTGCAATGGGGAAGAAGGTATTATGGTCATCATTGTGCAGCTTTCTCCCCATGAAAACCCCACCCCCACCCCAGCTCTCCAACTGCTTCTTGGCAGGCTGGGTGGCTTTGAGCAAGTTGCTATCTCTTGACTTGGCCTAGCTCTGTTGTAAGGATAAACTAGGATAGGCTCAGGTATGCTGCCCTGTTACAAATATTCTAAATAAAGATGTACTTCTGTGCAGTGCTTTTTTCTGGGGGTACGCAGAGGTACGCATACCCCTCAACATTTTGTGAATCTAAGTTTGGCCTCATTGAGGGGCAGTATTTCAATATGAGTGGGAAAATGAGAGTACCCCTAAACATGTTTTTAAAAGAAAAAAAGCACTGCTTCTGTGTACTTTAATACTGTGTTCTCTGCTCTGCACTCAGGAGAAGAGTTCACATTTACATTGAAAGGCTCCCTTGAAGATACTCAGAGCATTTTACTGGGCGATGATTCTAGATATGCCCCACCAAACTCCACAGTGTTCCACTATGTCAAGTACTGTAACCCACACCTGGAAGTGGAATTCCCAAAGAAATGCTGCATTTGGGTAAGTAGTGGTCACCCATTTCAAATGCCAAGTTGAACACCATCGATAAAATCTGCAGGCTGTGCTGGCCAGAATACTTAGCACAAGTCAAGCAAATTGCATGCCCTTTGCTTGTTTCACAATTTAGTTCTGCTTTTACAATTTGGTTTTTCTAAGGAATGTGGAATTTTTTTACAAGGACTAGGGGCATGGGGAAGTTATGAATGACATTAGAAACCAGAAACTGAAATTAGGAGAGAGGCAACAGAAGCTATGGGAAATAGAGAGGGAGGTGGGCACAATAGGGAATGCCCCACCAAACATGGAAGCTGTACCCTATCCTGTAATGCCCAGCTCTGTATCTGGCAAAAATGTCACCTCCAGGTTACGTATTTGTAATTAGTTTTATGCAGTCATAATGAGGCCATAGTAGTTGGTTTAAAACAAACAAAGAAATGCAAAAGCTGGCCTTTTAAGAATAGGATGTTCCATTGTACTGTACTTAAGAGATTCCCTGTGCAGGTGTCACACATTCAGATGTTTGGAATGCAGCGAGCTAGGTTTAAAGGAGCTAGAATCAGGTGCTCCCATATCAAATGCTTATCAGTCAATGCAAAATTTAATGATCAGTTACACTTGATCATAGAGATGGAAGAGAAATTCAGTTCAGTTTGCATTTAAGGAATCTACTTACCGGTAATTTGTGGTTTCTGAAATAGTACACAAACCAAAACACAGTCATCCTGCAAAATGTGTGCTTCTCTGAATTTTGCAATGCAGTTTTCCAGTCAAGTAATGCGTACCAAGAATGCATCTGCTAGGGTAAGATGTGCATACAAATGCATATATTCGTGAAAACAATATAGAAAAAGGCATTATATTAGGGAAAATGGCTTTGCAAAAATGTGTATATTAGGCAAAAATGCACTAACATGCTATTTTAAAAATGCAAACTGGTGAACTATTGAGAACTGAACTAAATATGGGAATAGTGAGAAACAAAGAGAAAATGATATTGACAAATTCATCCATCCCTAGTCATGACCCACTAAAACGAATAGAAGTTTGTTGTCCTACTGCTTTTGATGGGACTTAGTTATGAATATTTAGTAAAATCTTAAATACATCTGGGCCCTATTATCTCTAATAAAAACAAATGATAACCCCCCAGGAAACTGGCAATGATTCATTCTGGCACCTCACCACATTGCTGGTGGTGCTTGTATTTTTATCCTGAGAACTACAAAGGGTGGTATACAAAATGAATGAGTGAATGAATGAAATCTCCACATGTGGTGGGAATGTACAAAAATCCAGCCTTTCTGGAATTTGATATTTAAAGAAATTAATAAAACAATTGGAAGTCAAACCAGAATGAGCTTTATTAAATATATTTCAAGGCAGCAATCTGGATTTACATAATAAAGAATTAGTAAGCCATTTATTTATTTATTAGTAAGCAACATAACCAGACACTGGAAAGACCTTTCTGGCACAACATTAGACAATTGGTACAAAACAGTTTGGAAAATATCCCTCCTTGAGAGATTAATGAATAAACTACAGTTGACAAGTTTCCCATTTGTTTTTGTTTAAACAAATTCATGAACTTAGAGCTTATACATTGAGCACTAATAATGAACCATATGCTGTAGATATTGCTGCAAATTTAATATGCTATTTTTGTGATACACAAATGACATGCAAAAACTTGGTCTATTTATATGTGTCATTCATTATTCCTATGATTCTTGTTTATGAAATCCAATAAAAAGGTATTCCAATAAGAATAGGAAAAAATGATGCAAATGGGGGAATTCTGCACAGAATTATGTAATTTAATTTGTGCTGTTTACACAATATATCCATTACTAGTAATTCTGCTCTCTAGTCATTGCAGTAGGAGACAGGCAACTTTTAGGTAAGCAATATGCCTTTTGGTTTTAAAAACATATTGTGTTGTGACCATTTGTTTTTCCTCCTTCAGTGTTCAGATAAAGGACACACGAACTCCCTAACTTTGCCCTTGAATCAGCTTCGCATAGGAGAGAGAGTGGAAATATCAAATGTGAGTCCTGATTGCAAACAATTTTATTTTGTTTTCTATGTGGGTTGTAGTCCAGAACATCTGGAGAGCACCTGGTCAGGAAGGTTGAAGAAATGTGCATGCACACGAAAGCCCATACCAATAACAAACTTAGTTGGTCTCTGAGGTGCTACTGGAGGGAATTTTTTTATTTTGTTCTGACTACGGCAGACCAACACAGCTACCTATCTGTAAATGGAGAAAATGTGGTTTAGTAATTTGCTTGTCTGGATTGTAGCTGACCGTTGATTCTTCTAGTGGTGAGATCTGTATGTGTTCAAACCTTTTGTATGCATAGGACTCCCCATTATTTTTAATAGAGAGAGTTGATCCATTGGTCTGAAATAATTTGCATGCAGATTTGGCCTTCTGTTGAAATGAATGAAGCAGCCATTTTGCGTGCAGGGAGCAAGTAGTTCTGAGATAGGGGCAAAAATGCAGTGTACAAAGGTGCAGCATATACACAGAGATGGACATTGTGGGTGTTACAGGTTTGAAATCTGAAACATGTCAGAGAATGGATAAGCACTGAACCTGCATCTGCAGACTTATTCTTCATAACCTGAAGTTAACTCCCTGAATGGTCTGTTGCATGAATGTTGTAAGTTACTGGTTTATGCATTTTGTAAAGTGTACTTCCCTTGTGTAAACTGAACTGATGGAGTCCGAGAGCAATGAATTGCAAGACATCACGTTAGGATGGTACAACTTATTATTTATTATGATCATCAGGTTGGACTAATAAAGGAGGAGAACAAACAAAATTCTTTTGAAGATTATGGAAATCATAACTTTTTTATTTTTATTATAGGACAAAGCATATAATGTATTTGTGACAGCAGAAAACTGGTAAGCATTTTTCTCCTTGCAGTGACTTTGCAGTTCAATCTTTGCTTTCTTTGCTTTGTTTCCTGTTTTTAATAATAATAATAATAATAATAATAATAATAATAATTTATTTGTAGCCTGCCCATCTGGCTGGGTTTCCCCAGCTACTATGGGTGGCTTCCAACAAAGATTAAAAATACATTAAATTGTCACACATTAAAAACTTCCCTAAACAGGGCTGCCTTCAGATGTCTTCTAAATGTCAGGTAGTTGTTTATCTCTTTGACATTTGATGGGAGGGTGTTCCACAGGGTGGGTGCCACTACCGAGAAGGCCCTCTGCCTGGTTCCCTGCAGCTTTGCTTCTCGGAGTGAGGGAACTGCCAGAAGGCCCTCAGCGCTGGATCTCAGCATCCGGGCAGAACGATGGGGGTGGAGACGCTCCTTCAGGTATACTGGGCTGAGGCCATTTAGTGCTTTAAAGGTCAGCACCAACACTTTGAATTGTGCTCGGAAACGTACTGGGAGCCAAAGTAGGTCTTTCAGTGTTATATGGTCTCGGGGGCTGCTCCCAGTCACCAGTCTGGCTGCCGCATTCTGGATTAGTTGTAGTTTCTGGGTCACCTTCAAAGGTAGCCCCACGTAGAGTGCATTGTTGTAGTCCAAGCGGGAGATCACACACACACACACACACACACACACACACACACACACAAAATTTAAAAGACTTTGCAGCTTTCTGAAATTGCTTTAAAAGTAACCTTCCCTTCTGAGCACCCTTCTCTACTTGCCTTTTATAGGTATGAATGTAGTGCTATAGTACTCTGTGTAGAAATGGGGGAAGGCACGGGTTCAACTTCTGATGTTTCAAGCTAGAGCAGTGACAATTTTTCAAAATTTAACACAATTTCTTTTTGTCATTTGGATTTTGAACAGATTTTTTAAAATAAACAAAAATGAATTCAGATTTGAATCTAGGATTTTTACTTCCACCTTCTGGATTCTTTAAACTGGTTGGCAGCTCTTCATTGTTTTCAACTTTGGCAGTTTCCAAATATGAAATTTTATAAACTCACCAATCAAATGTGAAATATTGTTCCAGGTTCTTTACCAACTGCTGTTAAATGCTGCTTTCCTTTACATGTCAGCTGTCAAATAGTGCCCAATACAAATTGTTGACAGCAAACATTGGAGTGCTGGAATTTCTTCAAATCATAATGCATATATTATGTGTATTCAGCTGCTCAGGTTTATGATATGAGTTTGTATCATTTAGCCAGAATGACCTAGACATGCGCTTGGGATTTGATGTATGCCCAGAGGAGCAGGACTTCATTTGTAAGCGCAAGAAATACGTTGCTGCTGCTTTGAAAAATGCTCTTAATCTTCAAGATGATCTGCAGGATGATGAGGTATAATGTCCACCACAATGTAAGATGAGCAGAGAAAATGGTGGCAAAGGGATTCATATACCATATGTCCATGCCACATGTTCATCCATGCATAATAATAATAATAATAATTTATTTATACCCCACCCATCTGGCTGAGTTTCCCCAGCCACTCTGGGCGGCTTCCAACAAAGATTAAAAGTACATTAAAACTTCAGTCATTAAAAACTTCCCTAAACAGGGCTGCCTTCAGATGTCTTCTAAATGTCAGATAGTTTTTATTTCCTTGACATCTGATGGGAGGGCAATCCACAGGGCGGGCGCCACTACCGAGAAGGTCTATTTCATATGGTCTAATTCATGCATAATATCTTACACATTCATGTATTCTATTGTAACACAAAATAACTGTTTGCCTTACACATCTTTAAAGTTAATCCCTAGTGGGAGGAGGATGTGTGGAGAGTTGGGCCCTGAAGAGAGAGCTCTGGAAGTCTAAAGTTCCCCACACTGTGTGTAGGTATCCTGAGGGGAGGTGTATGGAGACAGAAAAAGAGCGAGAAGCCTAGATTGTGTGAGCAGAAGTTGATAAATGATTAAGATTTGTTTGCCCTAGTGTGCATCATTATACACTTGCCTATCTTGAACTGTATTCAACATTGTCAGAAATAATCTTCTTTAGGTCCCAAGGATCCTTAGAGTCCCAGGACTACCTGGGGGGACCTGTACCACTAGCTCTTGGAAATCCCTTTTCACCACAGGACACATTTTCTATCTCATATCCCATAATGTAGAGCTTTCCTGCCTACCTACACCACGTGGTTTCCCCCCTGTAGTGTATTGGTTCTCTTCACCAGCCTATGGTATTTTACAGTGTTTGCTTCCTAGTTTGGCATAACTGTGAACAACCCAGAATTGCTCTTAATCATTCTTCGCTCTGGCTGTGCTTGCAGCCAACCCACTTATCCTTCTGCCTTCACTTTTTCTCTCTCTTCCTCCTTCTGTAAGAGTATTGGCTTGTCCTTTTTACTCCTTCAGCTTCTGTTTACCTTCACTCATTAATTTCCTAGGACCCTCACTTCAACACTTCAGTGCCCTGCGTTTTGGGGATGCTGTTAGCATCTGTGTAATGCTCCACAGCTGTTGCCATCTCCCCCAATTCCCCCCTGTGCTTTCATGTGAGCAAGCTGGGAAACTTAGGAGGCAGCCCAAGCAGCAGCAGCAGTTCCTGCACCTTCCATTTTGATGCCCCCTCACTAAAGTCCAAAATGAAGCATGGTGCTCAGCAAATGGAAATGGGGAGGGCATTCCATAGCCAAGGTACCAGAACAAAAACCAAGATCCACATTTCTCCTCATTTTGTGATGCAGTTCTTCAACAAAAACTGTGTATCTTTGGCAAAATTGCATATAAAGATGTGTACTAAAATGCTGGCGAATATTGTGAGAACATTTTATTTAAATATATAGATAAATGGAAATGTAGTGAACTCAATTTAAGACCGAGGAAAGTTAGAGAAACTGAAATTGATAGACTCTTCCATCCCTGATGAGGTTTTCGGATATGTGATTAAGCTTTTTTGTTAAAAAAAAAAGTGTGTGTGATTCTGCTCAGTCCTTCAATCTTCCCACTTCTGCAAATTTGTGAATAACTGCTCTCAAATTTATTCAGGTTCCCATTGTGGCTGTGATGACAACAGCAGGTGGCGTAAGATCCATGATTGCGATGTACGGTAGCCTATTAGCTCTCCAGAAGCTGAATCTCTTAGACTGTATTTCATACACCGCTGGTTTATCTGGCACAACATGGTAAGGAGAACATGGAGCAAAACTATTAGGGATGTATCCAGACCTGCAGAATTTCCTTACAACCTTCTGCTATGGGGTAATCACATGAGGTGACGGCACATTTTATGTGTATCCCTTCAGTTGTTGTTTAGCGTTCAACATCCATGGAAAACTTTGTACCACATGAAATAGAAGCAAGCCTTTCTGTACCTCCCCTGGATAGCCCCTGCCACTCCTCCTTTGTTTAGCATAACAGTCACTTTATAAAACCAAACAATAAAAAAATTATTTGTGCAATTTTACCAAGGATTTTTTTTTAAAAAATCACAAAATAAGCCTGGTGACTTCATGGTCCTGATTCAATGGAACCAAGCCTTGTCAACACAACTACCTCCCCTTTTTCAGATTTATTAATTAATGGAAAATATACTCAGTGTGATTAGAAAAACAGAAATAAAAAACGGAGTCTGTAGTTCTAGGGAAATGAAGTACTATATATATGCATTTCAAACATTGTCAGATGCTGAGACTAAAGTGCAATGCAACAGTTTCCTAGTCTTGTTATGACCATGGGCAACCCTTTTGAAAAGCTTCCGACTTAAGCAACAACAACTTACATTGTTTAGGAACCTTTAGCAACTTTGAAATCAGTTAAGAGTCAGATTATTATTATTATTATTATTATTATTATTATTATTTTAAAGAGAGGGTGGGTAACATGACCTTCGTTGCTGTTTGCTTCAGATTTGCAAAATCCTTTGAACCAAACAGTATTTCAGTGAAAAATTGTTTTATATATGAAAGTGATGTGGAAACTTATTATGAAAATTGGTGAGGATAATTTAACTGGTCCTTTGCTTCCCTGGATTGTTGATTGGGTGCAGATGTGTGATAAAATGCTCCTAAGTGATTGGCAGGATGTTCCAGATGAGTTGCTCATTGAATAGTCACATCAACTAGGGATAGACCAAGCATCCCCAAATTTGGCCCTCCAGGTGTTTTGGGACTACAACTCCCATCATCCCTAGGTAACATGACCAGTGGTCAGGGATGATGGGAATTGTAGTCCCAAAACATCTGAAGGGTCGAGTTTGGGATAGACAGTTTAGTCTAATTCACTTTCATATGTATTCATTTTAATTCTGTTCTGTTCCATTCCTGTTTTAATTTGCATTCCTGCCCCCATAAGAACTCTGAATAACATTCTAGCCCAGAAAAAAGACATACAGACAGACAGTTGTGGGGTGGCCCTAGGCCTGCTTTTGACATTTATTTTCTTCTTTTTAAAACAGGTGACAGCATGGCTTCCTCTGAGTGGATTGAAAATGGGGCTGCAAACACTCCTGAGAGCAAATGTCTCTGGGACCAATATGGGTCCTTGAGAGAAATGGGATGTCCTTGTGTCCTATTGCTCCAAGGGCATTTACAGTCTCATTTTCAATGTGCACAGTGGCAGATGCTGTGCTTTCCAACTGCTTGGAGTAGCTATACCTTTTTCAAAAGTTGTGCCTTTTTTAAAAAGCACCTCCAGGCCAACTCAAACAATTAGCTTTCTAAGGAAGGACACATTCTGATCTGCACAATAGTCCATGGGGTGCAGATCAGGTGAGTTTGCCTTAGAACGTGGATGCAAAAAATTCCTTGAGCACCCCTAACACGATTAGCTGCTGGTTGATAAGTGGCCATTTGTATTTGCCCAAAGTCTGTGGCCAATTTCAATTTTAGCTTCCCCTTTTTTCTCCTTTTAAAATTTATTTTCCTTAGGACCATGATAAATTTATATGAAGATGCCAATTGGTCGCAAAAAGATTTGGAAGCGCATATCAGTGATGCTCGGAAACATGTCATGAAAAACAAGCTTTCCTGTTTTTCTCGGAGGCACTTAACATACTATGAAAAGGAAATCTGTCAGAGGCACCGAGATGGATATAAGCTCTCTTTTATAGATCTCTGGGGGCTCATTATTGAATCCATGTTTAATGATGAGGTATTGTATTAATACTTTTTGGAGGTGGGTGGGAAGCATAATGTGGGCTGGCATATGGGGAAAATATGAAACAAATTAAGCACAGAAAGGGGAAAGGGTGTTTGCTATCATTTCTTTAATTTACATTGATAGCACACCTGTTGTGAAGAGTTGGGATGTAAACAAGAACACAAGCTTGCATCTAAATATATTAAAACATTGGGCAGTATCCATTGAACCATTTTCACCATCACAAGGAGATTTAGCTGGGCAAGAGAGCTTTTCTATCCTCTCTCTGTATGTCTCCTGTGTGCCCCATACATTTGATCTGGAAGGTTATGGGGGACCCAGAACAGATTTATGGGGTATGCTTGGAGAGGAGAGGTCAGGAAATCATAGAATTGTAAAGTTGTAGGGAACCCAAGAGTCATCTAGTCCAGTCCCCTGCAATGAAGGCATCTCAGCTAAAGCATCCATAACAAGATCTCCCAACACTCTAGAGTACTGTCCGAGGTGGTACTGGCAACTGCAGTGGGAAGGAGGAATTGGCAGACGTTGCCTCTCATAGGTAAGGAGCAAAGTCTGGGTCTGACCCAAGATGAGGATGCCAAGATGTATTATGCCAGGTTCTTTGTGAAATTTATTTGGGTCAATGTCTCTTCTGCTGACTGCTGCTTTTTCCCAAACAGCCCAATCATCACAAGCTCTCAGATCAACGACAGGCTGTGAATCTGGGTCAGAACCCACTTCCCATCTACCTTGCTCTCAATGTCAAAGAAAGATACAGCACTCTAGATTTTAAAGGTAGAGACAAAATTATTTGAGCTTGCTTCGAAGGCGGGGGTCCAGGTGAAGACTATTGGTTGACATTTCCCCACTAATAGATACTAAATCTCCTGGCGATGGTGCAGCACAGATTGTGTGTTGTGTACATTTTTATACAGAATTATACCTTTGTTTCAAAATCCTAAGAGAATTCTTGGATCTTGAGTAAATAATAAGTCCTGTCAGTCTTTGATACCACATTGAGTGCTCTTGAGTACTCATTCTCCCTCATTTTAGGCCTGCTCTATACTTGAAACAATGGGACGCGGGTGGTGCTGTGGGTTAAACCACAGAGCCTAGGACTTGCTGATCAGAAGTTCGGCGGTTCGAATCCCCGCGACGGGGTGAGCTCCCATTGCTCGGTCCCTGCTCCTGCCAACCTAGCAGTTCGAAAGCACGTCAAAGTGCAAGTAGATAAATAGGTACTGCTCTGGCAGGAATGTAAACGGCGTTTCCGTGTGCTTCTCTGGTTCACCAGAAGTGGCTTAGTCATGCTGGCCACATGACCCGGAAGCTGTACGCCAGCTCCCTCGGCCAGTAAAGCGAGATGAGCGCCGCAACCCCAGAGTAGGCCACGACTGGACCTAATGGTCAGGGGTCCCTTTACCTTTATCTTTATACTTGAAACAATAATCGCATGGAAAGTGTTCCCATACATGTGGGGTAGCCCCGAGTATTGGCTTCCTTTGTAAATTACTCTTGTTGCACAGAGAGTTTCTACTTCACTGTCAGCTACAGATGAAGGTGACCCATTTAGGGAGGTGTAGTAACACATTATGGCTGCCATGTGGAGCAGTTGCTGCATGAATGCTGTTAGAGAGATATATTAAAAAAATTGTCCAGTAGCACCTTAGAGACCAACTAAGTTTGTTTTGGGTATGAGTTTTCGTGTGAATGCACACTTCTTCGGATACACTGAAACAGAAGTCACCAGACCCTTATATATAGTGAGAGGGTGGGGAGGGGTATTACTCAGAAGGGTGGTGGGAATGGGTGATTGGCTGATAGGTGTAGAGTTTCTGTAAGTGGGATGGGGAGTTGTGATTTCCAAATCCATTGAAATGGTTAATTATGATTATCATAGAGAGGTAGAATGCAGATTTTATTGCAATGTTCCCTACAGTGTAATTATTACTTCATTCATTTATTAGATTTCTTAACTGTCTTTCACAATAATTATACAGTACTTAACAAATATTTTTATATGGTTGTTTGCAGAGTGGGTGGAATTTACTCCCTATGAAGCAGGCTTCCTGAAATATGGAGCTTTCATTAATGTGGAACATTTTGGAAGTGAGTTCTACATGGGCCACTTGACAAAGAAGCTGCCGGAATCTGAGCTCTGTTACATGCAAGGTGACTTATTATTATTATTTATGAAGTTTGTATACCGCCCTTCATCCGCAGATCTCAGGGTGGTTCACAACATAAAAGCACAAAATACAATATGCAGTATAAAAGCATAAGATAAAAACAAGAACAAAAAAACCCACAAAGAAATAACCCCTCTCCCACAAATACATTTAATAGAGGTATAAAATGTTAGTCAGCCAAAGGCCTGGTTAAAGAGGAACATTTTCGCCTGGCACCTAAAGGTGTATAATGAAGGTGCCAGCTGAACCTCCCTGGGGAGAGCATTCCACAGATGGGGAGCCACTGCAGAGAAGGCCTGTTCTTGTGTTGCCACCTCCTGGACCTTTTGTGGAGGAGACACACGAAGAAGGGCCTCAGATGCTGAACACAGAGTCATATGGAGAGAGGTGGTCTTTGAAGACCTGAACAGAGATACCAACAAAATCTATATTGTTTTAGTTGCCTGTATTTTGAAATTGACTCCTTACCACTCACACGGGGTTTTTTTTGTACTATATACTCATCTTTCACACATTACTGATGGGAATGAGAACCGCACTACAGGCTTTTTTCAGTTCTGGCACCTCTCAGATGGGCACCATTGCCATTATAAAAGAATAAGGGAGGCATTTGTGGTGAGTTCTGGCACCTTTTCCCCCTTGAAAAATAGCACCGATGACAGGAAATAGTAAACACAGTAATTAGTAAAATATTAGTGAACATGATATCCATTTCAAAACAATAAATGAAAGAAACAAATGCAACACCCTCTTTACCATCATCTAGAAATTACATCAAAGCTCTGAGATCAAATGGTTTTTATTTTACTTTTGCATTTTCTATGTTTCTCAGGCATGTTGAGTAATATATATTCCCAGAGTTTGCTGGATGCATTGTACTTAGCTGACTGTTCAGAAGACTTCTGGCACAGGTGGACAAGAGACAGAGTGGTGGATATTGGTCAGTAGAACATCATTTCTTCTTTGGCTAATGTACCTTGGGCTCTGTCATGAGGCACGCAGCACTGTTGGGATCAAGCTTGGGTTGGCTGGCTCTGATGGAGGAGGAAGAAACAGGGAAAGAGCTGAATTTGTGGAACATGGGTTGGAGGGCGGGCGCGCGAATCTCTCCTTTCCACTTCAGTCACTTTGGAAGGGAGAGCAGGATGCTGGCTCTCCTTCTCTGACCTTCCTGCAGAGCAGAAAGCCTTAGTGGAGACTGGGGCAGACTTTGATCAGTTATGGCAGGAGCCTGAATAGGAGGCTGCAGTCTTGTTGCCTATAACCGGGCGCCACCTTCACAGATGGGAACAGATACAACCACCCCACAAGGCTAGAGAGTCTCAAATGACCACTCCATACCTCCTTTTAAAAGCTTGGAGGGGGTGGGAAAGTTCATTGGGACACCTGTTTCTGAACACCGGAATTGTGACTCTTGAGCACTGTGTCTACTGCTGAGCCTGTGCTTTTACCTGCTTAAATAAAGATATCTTTCTTCCAAGTAAGACATTCTGGGATGATCCACATTGTACATTTAAGGTGCATGCAATGCACATTTAAAGTGCACAGCTTCCTCCCAAGGAATCTTGGGGACTGTGATAGGAGGCAACTCCTAGGCGCCAAGGTCCCTTCGCCCTCCCCAATAAAATATTTGAGGGGACCGAGCCCCCACAAAGTTAATGACCATTGCCCTTCAAATTGTACAGGTGAGCCCTGTCATGTGATCGATTATGCAGGGTGGGGCTTACCTGCCCCTTGCAATATTTTATTCATGTTGGCACCCCTGGAAACAGTAGTTTGTTAAGGGTACTGGGAATTGTTGGTCTGTGAGGAGAAAACTACATTTCCTGTGGTCTTTAGCAAACAGTTGGATATTAGAATCATAGAATCATAGAATCATAGAGTTGGAAGAGACCACAAGGGCCATCGAGTCCAACCCCCTGCCAAGCAGGAAACACCATCAGAGCACTCCTGACATATGGTTGTCAAGCCTCTGCTTAAAGACCTCCAAAGAAGGAGACTCCACCACACTCCTTGGCAGCAAATTCCACTGTCGAACAGCTCTTACTGTCAGGAAGTTCTTCCTAATGTTTAGGTGGAATCTTCTTTCTTGTAGTTTGGATCCATTGCTCCGTGTCCGCTTCTCTGGGGCAGCAGAAAACAACCTTTCTCCCTTCTCTATGTGACATCCTTTTATATATTTGAACATGGCTATCATATCACCCCTTAACCTCCTCTTCTCCAGGCTAAACATGCCCAGCTCCCTTAGCCGTTCCTCATAAGGCATCGTTTCCAGGCCTTTGTCCATTTTGGTTGCCCTCCTCTGGACACGTTCCAGTTTGTCAGTGTCCTTCTTGAACTGTGGTGCCCAGAACTGGACACAGTACTCCAGGTGAGGTCTGACCAGAGGAGAATACAGTGGCACTATTACTTCCCTTGATCTAGATGCTATACTCCTATTGATGCAGCCCAGAATTGCATTGGCTTTTTTAGCTGCCGTGTCACACTGTTGGCTCATGTCAAGTTTGTGGTCAACCAAGACTCCTAGATCCTTTTCACATGTACTGCTCTCAAGCCAGGTGTCACCCATCTTGTATTTGTGCCTCTCATTTTTTTGCCCAAGTGCAATACTTTACATTTCTCCTGTTAAAATTCATCTTGTTTGTTTTGGCCCAGTTCTCTAATCTGTCAAGGTCGTTTTGAAGTGTGATCCTGTCCTCTGGGGTGTTAGCCACCCCTCCCAGTTTGGTGTCATCTGCAAATTTGATCAGGATGCCCTTGAGTCCATCATCCAAGTCGTTGATAAAGATGTTGAATAAGACCGGGCCCAAGACAGAACCCTGGGGCACCCCACTAGTCACTCTTCTCCAGGATGAAGAGGAACCATTGATGAGCACCCTTTGGGTTCAGTCAGTCAGCCAGTTACAAATCCACTGAGTGGTAGCATAGTCAAGACCGCATTTTACCAGCTTCTTTACAAGAATATCATGAGGCACCTTGTCAAATGCCTTGCTGAAATCAAGGTAGGCTACATCCACTGCGTTCCCTTCATCTACCAGGCTTGTAATTCTGTCAAAAACGAGATCAGGTTAGTCTGACATGACTTATTTTTCAGAAATCCATGCTGACTATTGGTGATCACAGCATTCCTTTCTAGGTGCTCACAGACTGTTTGCTTAATGATCTGCTCCAGAATCTTCCCTGGTATTGATGTCAGACTGACTGGGCGGTAATTATTTGGGTCCTCTCTTTTCCCTTTTTGAAAATAGGGACAACATTTGCCCTCCTCCAGTCTGCCGGGACTTCGCCTGTTCTCCAGGAATTCTCAAAGATGACTGCCAGTGGTTCTGAGATCACATCTGCCAGTTCTTTTAATACTCTTGGATGCAGTTCATCTGGCCCTGGAGACTTGAATACATCTAAACTAGCCAAGTATTCTTGTACTATCTCCTTCAGTTATTCTGGGCTGTGTTTCCTTTGCTGAATCATTTGCTCCAAATTCTTCAGGTCGGGCATTGTTTTCTTTATCGGAGAAGACTGAGGCAAAGAAGGCATTGAGGAGTTCAGGCCTTTCTGTGTCCCCTGTTTGCATTTCACCATCTTCTCCTCTGAGTGACCCCACTGTTTCTTTGTTCTTCCTTTTGCTATGAACATACCCATAAAAGCCTTTTTTGTTGCTTTTAACCTCTCTAGCAAGCCTGAGTTCATTCTGTGCTTTAGCTTTTCTGACTTTGTGTCTACACGTGCTGGCTATTTGTTTGAATTCCTCTTTGGTGGTTTCCCCCCTTTTCCATTTTTTGTACACATCCTTTTTTAATCTTAACTCAGTTAAAAGTTCTTTAGATAGCCACCCTGGCTTCTTTAGGCACCTTAGATTTGCTATTAGTAAAGGTAAAGGTACCCCTGCCCATACGGGCCAGTCGTGACCGACTCTGGGGTTGCATGCTCATCTCGCTTAAGAGGCCGGGAGCCAGCGCTGTCCGAAGACACTTCTGGGTCACGTGGCCAGCGTGACGAAGCTGCTCTGGCGAGCCAGCACCAGCGCAGCACATGGAAACGCCGTTTACCTTCCTGCTATAAAGCGATACCTATTTATCTACTTGCACTTAGGGGTGCTTTCGAACTGCTAGGTGGGCAGGAGCTGGGACCGAACTACGGGAGCTCACCCCACCATGGGGATTCGAACCGCCGACCATACGATCGGCAAGTCCTAGGCACTGAGGTTTTACCCACAGTGCCACCCGCGTCCCTTTAGATTTGCTATAATTTATAGTTAAATGCCATGATTTATAGTTAAATGCCCAATGCTAGTAAATTATTTCGGCCAATTTTGGATCATTAAAGCAGAGGATAATTTAGGGGAATGGGACTGTAAGAGTTTGCTTAAAAATGGATTGAAGAGTAAACAGGCCACAATATAGCCCTATCTGATTTTAAACACTCACAGCAAAAAGATGCCCTTTAAAACCTTAAGTATTGTTACTGTTAATAGTAGCAGCAGTTAAAAGGTAAAAAGGTAAAGGACCCCTGGATGGTTAAGTCCGGTCAAAGGCAACTATGGGGTTGCAGCGCTCATCTTGCTTGCTTTCAGGCCGAGGGAGTGCACAGAAACACCATTTACCTTCCTGACGCAATGGTACCTATTTATCTACTTGCACTGGTGTGCTTTTGAACTGCTAGGTTGGCAGAAGCTGGGACAGAGCAATGGGGGCTCACCCCATTGTGGGCATTCAAACCGCCAACCTTCTGATTAGCAATCCCAAGAGGCTCAGTGGTTTAGACCACAGTGCCAACTGCTCCCCCTAGTAGCAGCAGTAGCTGTATTGGTACTATCAAGGTGCATTCTGAGCAAGGGATCTAAACAAAATTGTCATGTGTTCCACAGAAGATGGTACTCTGCCCAGCATGCCTCGCCGGCCAGATGTACAGCCAACACGCCTCTTCACCCCCAGCGGAAGCCTCACCGATGTGCTTAGAGATGTTGTAACAATGCGGCCAATTGTTGCAGAATATGGCAATTTCATGAGGGGCCTCCAAGTCAACGATAAATACTTGGAGAATGACAGGTTTTCAATGTGGAAAGGTAATTCCCTTGAACTCATTTACTCAGATCTCTTCTCCCCCCTCTCTTTTCTTTTGTTTTGGATATGTCTTATGATCCTCTCCCCACAGAAGCCTGTGCACAGCATACACCTGGATGTCACATATTTCTCAACTGAGGAGAAACAGCTAATCCTCTGCCCCCTCGGTCAACAGTTGCCAGCTGCCAAGTTAGCCTTCACTTCTTTTTCCATCCACATTTCAGTTAATCAGCCTCTGCCCAGTAGTGGTGGCAGGGCAGAAATAGCCTCAAAATGGTGCTGGGCATATGCCTTGGTGCACAAAAGTTCCCTGATCAAGGACCACATCCTCTTCACAGAATCATAGAATTGTAGAGTTGGAAGGGATCCTGAGGGCATCCAACTCCCGCAATGCAGGAATCTCAACTAAAGCACTCATGACAGATGGCCATATAACATCTGCTTAAAAATGAAGGAGACTCTACAACCTCCCAAGGGAGTGCATTCCACTGTTGAACAGCTCATACTGTCAGAAAGTTCTTTCTGATGTTTATTTGGAATCTCCTTTCTTGTAACTTGAAGCCATTGGTTTGGGTCCTAGTGCTATGGTTACCAGAATTTTTTCAATGAATCCGGGGACACTCCCCCCCCCTTTTAAAGCTGAGTAGCAACAGGAAGTCCGTAGTGGGGATAGTGAGGCAAAAGACCCTGGGCCCAAGCACACACGCATATTGTATAAAGGTGCAAAGCCCTTCTTTTGCACCCTGTGAAACATAAATGAGCAGAGTTTTTTTTAAAAAAAACTGGGCAATGGCGCGCCGCCTGCCCCTGACTCCCGAGCCTTCCCTGATCTCGTTCCCCCTTTGTTTTGACAGATCAGGGGAGGCTCAGGAGTCATGGGCAGGTGGTCATTGCCCAGGAGGGGCCAGCCTGGTAGTGCAGTTGGCTCTGGCTGGCTTCACGAGATGCTTGCTGCCGTGGCGCAGGAAAAATGGCGGACGCCATGGCAATGAGCAGCACTAACAGCCTGGCTCTGGGCTGCTGAGGCTGCTGCTGCTACGTTTCCCAGGGACAGGTTTGCAAATCTGGGGACATTCTGGGGACAGAATTTGTCCGGGGACAGATTTGCAAATCTGGGGACTCTGGAGTAGGTGAAAACAAGCTTGCTTCATCTTCAGCGCTCTCCTTGCATCGTTTATTCTGTTATCACCAGTTTGGGCCCTGCTTTCCTTTTGAGTGAAGGCAGAGGCAAAGTAGGTGTTGACCAGTTCTGTCTTCTCTCTGCCACCTAACAGCATTTCTCTGTCTTCTCCACGCAGAAGACCTAATACTTGCTTGTGTCAAGGTATTAAGTTTTAGGAAGGCAGAAGCTGCCAGTAAATGCTGGAATATGCTAGAACATTCTAGTGGGGCTGTAATTTTCCAAATTGCACAAAGCAAACACAGCTGTTGTTTTGTGTCTTATATTAGTGTCTTATCTTTGTGTCAAGGCCACTGGGAAGGGTATATCTGCTGCCCAGTGAGCAGTTTCTCATTCTTCTACTGACTTCTATTCCTTACTTTCTTTTTATATTCATGCAGTGTTATTTTTTATGCTGTAACTGGATTTTTCTCTAAAGTGAGCTAAGTTGAGCCTTGCTAGTGACCTAGCAAAGAATTGTAAGATTTATGCCTATTGGCTACTCTTGTATATGATTCCTTTGTGATTTCCCCTTTCTTCCATTTTTTAATAAATGCCCTTCTTAAATCTCAGTTCTCCTTATGCAGCCACACTGATTTTTTTAGATGCCTCCCAATTTTCTTTCTTATTGGAATTGTCTGCATTTGTGCCTTCAGTGGTTCACTTTTAGGAACTCCCACCTTGGACTCCCTTCTGTTTGAGTATTTCTAATCATGGGATCTCACCCAGTAGTTCCTTAACCTTTTTGAAATCAGCCTTCTTAAAGTGCACATCCGACTACACTCAGCTTTCCATTGCCTCTTAAAATGAAGCTCAATAGGACATGATCCCTTCCTCACAGATTTCCCAGTACTTCCACTTTGTTGAGCAGTTCCTTCCTGTTGGTGAAAACCAGGTAAAAGATAGATGATTCCTTTGTTGCTTCTTCCACTTTCTGGGAAATGAAATTCTCATAATTACAGGGAGAGTATTTGTTGAAAACAGATACAACAGAAGTGAGATTAGACTGGGAATGCTAAAACAGGGCATGTTTGGAACCTGTGCAGCCAGTCATTCTTCATTTCTTCCTTGACTGTTCTCCCTTCTTGTTCCTTGTACACCCAGAATACATTATGCAGATACATTACATTACATTAACAATTATTCTGAGGTTCAGGCTTTCCAGAAACACTTCATGCTTGTCTGTTTCCAAGAACTGGAGTAGCAAAAGAAGAAATGTAAGGGAGGTTTGTAGGAATGGCATTACAACTACGTTGTTTTAGTCATAGTGACCTGGGGTCCTTTTTGAAGAAGAAGAAGAAGAGTTTGGATTTGATATCCCGCCTTTCACTCCCTTTAAGGAGTCTCAAAGCGGCTAACATTCTCCTTTCCCTTCCTTCCCCACAACAAACACTCTGTGAGGTGAGTGGGGCTGAGAGACTTCAGAGAAGTGTGACTGGCCCAAGGTCACCCAGCAGCTGCAAGTGGAGGAGCGGAGACGCGAACCCGGTTCCCCAGATTATGAGACTACCGCTCTTAACCACTACACCACACTGGTTATTTAAAAGATGAACCTAGGGAGTGGTGTAGTGGTTAGAAAGTTAGACTAGGACCTGGGAGACCAGGGTTCAAATCCCCGTTCATACATGAAGGGTGGCCTTGGGCCGGACACTCACTCTCAGCCTAACCTCTTGTTGTGGGAATTAACTGGGGAGGCAGTGAACTATGTACCCGACCTTGAGTTCCTTGGAGGAAAGGTGGGATATAAATGCAATGATTCTTTAAAAATAAATTATTAAGCATTTCAAAACAAATATTTTGTAAATGTATTAACAGAAAAACAATCATAAGGCATGGGGGAAAGAATTGCTGTTGATAACATTGCTATACTAATAAGCACAATTTAAAATGTTTATCTCTCCCTCTCCACTAACCCTACAGCAGGATGCATTCTGGTTTCTCTGAATTTAATCTGCTAGGATTTAGTATGAACTATACAATGGTACCTCGGGTTACAGACGCTTCAGGTTACAGACTCCGCTAACTCAGAAATAGTACCTTGGGTTAAGAACTTTGCTTCAGGATGAGAACAGAAATTGTGCCACCGTAGCGCGGTGGCAGCGGGAGGCCCCATTAGCTAAAGTGGTACCTCAGGTTAAGATCAATTTCAGGTTAAGAATGGACCTCCAGAACGAATTAAGTTATTAACCCGAGGTACCACTGTAAAGACAAACTAAGTTAAATAATTTGGGGTCTCAGGCACATAGCTTCTTTCTTGATAGGTCTATCATTGCTTTGTTGGATCAACTGAAATTTCAAAAGTTGAAGGAAAAAATGAAAGTATAAAAGGTACCTGTTATCAAAAGAGGCGTCTATGTAGAGAATATAAACTATGAATAAGTAAATTAAGGCTGCACTGTAGTATCATTAGCCTGTTAATGATATATAATTAATTGAGTCCTCCTGGTCTTTAATAGCATATATGAGTTTTCTTTGCAACATTGCATATAAAGCTAAAGAATTTGCCTTTCAGATACTGTACTAGATAATTTCCCCAACAAGTTGAATGAAACACCAGAATATTTGGAACTGACGGACACAGCTTTTTTCATCAATACCAGCTGCCCACCGCTTCTGAGGCCAGAGAGGAAAGTGGACCTTATTTTGCATTTAAATTATAGTGGAGGATCACAGGCATTGGTGAGAAGATTCTTTTTATTATCTTTAGCAACTTGACCATAACCATTCGTCTTTTCATTAATTTTTTACTTCAAATATTAACAGAAGACTGGAAGAGCTTGAAAAAGAACTTTTTGCTATGCCATATAGTTATTTGGTGTAGCTTCACATTTGATATAAAAATGGATTATTTTCTTCTTCTTCCAAGGACGACTGAGTCATATGGAGTAATACTGGGGGGCAGGCAGGTGGTCCCCATTTCTCCCTACCACCAAAGATCTAGCTTCAGCTTTTTACACAGTCTTCTTACATGGGAAGTAATGTGGAGAAAGATGGCTTTGCTTTCTAATCCTCAGTATTTTCATGGAAAGAGAGTGAGAACAAGCAAAAGAGAAACAGCCCCTGGGAGAGGACAGTGGACGTCCTAGACAGACCGGACCTTGGACAATTATTATTGTGTCCTCCTCCTTCATCACCATTTTATAGACTCATAGTGCTAGAAAATCTGATCCACCTACCTATGCCAAGACAAGAGTGCCCATACCCCAAATATCCCTGATAAGTGCCATATCATCCTTCTAGTGCAACTACTAGCTTTTGAGAAAGGAAAGCTGTAACCATATCTCTTTGGGTTCTGATGTTGTTCATGTTTAATGCTCTAGCCATTGGATCTAGCTACAAAATACTATGCGGAGCAGGGCATTCCATTTCCTAAGGTTGTGCTGACAGATGAAGACAGGAAGCATCTCAAGGAATGCTACCTCTTCGACAAAGCAGAGAGTCCAAAGGCTCCCATATTGCTGTATTTTCCCCTGGTTTGCGATACCTTCCAAAAATACAAAGCTCCTGGTGAGTAAAGAAGAGCAATAGTCTTCCTGAAGACAACATGACTTTCTTATCTGCTTATTTTCATGACTGACACCTATACACACACACACACACACACACACACATATATATATATATATATAGACGCGGGTGGCGCTCTGGGTTAAAACAAAGAGCCTAGGGCTTGCTGATCAGAAGGTCGGCGGTTTGAATCCCCGCGACGGGGTGACCTCCCGTTGCTCGGTCCCTGCTCCTGCCAGCCTAGCAGTTCAAAAGCACATCAAAGTGCAAGTAGATAAATAGGTACCACTCTGGCGGGAAGGTAAACGGTGTTTCCATGCGCTGCTCAGGTTCGCCATGCTGGCCACATGACCTGGAAGCTGTACACTGGCTTCCTTGACCAATAAAGTGAGATGAGCGCCGCAACCCCAGAGTCGGTCACGACTGGACCTAATGGTCAGGGGTCCCTTTACCTATATATATATATATATATATATATATATATATATATATACACACACACACACACACACACACAGTGGTACCTTGGGTTAAGTACAATGGCACTCTATGCTGCCCAAGTGAAAAGCCACTGTTCAGTTTGAAAAGTGTGTTGTCACTTTGGCAGTAGCAAGTGCTGCAGTGGAAACAAAAGAGCAGCTCTGGGTGTGTGAGGTGCTGTCCTCCATCTGCATGGTGGCTGTTTGGGTCATGGACCCTGGGTTCTATGTAGCATCCTCACTTCAGTCTGTCTTCTTTTGTTCCACTGGCTCATCATCTTTTATCCCCAACACAGTCTACTTTATCAAATCTTCCTTCTAGCTTCTAGCCTTCAACTTCTAGTCTTCAACCCATTCCCTCAGCACTTGTTGCACTGCTGCATTAAAAACCGAGATGAATGTGGCAGATGGAGATCTTCTCCCCTTCATTATAAATACATACAAATATAGACCATAAACACAATCGCCCAACCATCACAACCTCAAATTGGTTTCAGTTACCTTCAGGATTTTCCTCATCTCATCCATTCTGACAGCGTGTTTTACCAAGACGAGGTTGTGTCAAATAGCCTAGTAATGGGCAGAGATTTCTTGCCAGTTTCTCACCGGAAACTGAAGTGGTTGAGCAATTAACAGGCAGGGATGAATATGCTCATACTCTCCTCTCTGACTCCTTGAAAAGAATGTGAAGCTTGGCTGCTCTTGCGAGGCATTACACACCCACACACCCACCTCTCAACTTAGTTCAATGTTCTAATGAAATTAGAAGTTATTGACCAGGGAATGGGGGTGGGGGCTTGTGGCTCTCCATATATTGTTGGACCCACCAGCCCCAGCCAACATGGTCAGTGGTCAGAATAGTGAGAGTTATAGCTCAACAGCATCTAGGGTGCCAGAGGTTCCCCAGCTCTGATTTATTTAGGGATGCCATTTTCTGAAAATCCTGATGTTGAGCTTATCCACACACATCCCACCCCCAGTTCCTGTCTTTCTCCTTGATCTCAATGCGAAGTAAGTTACTTATTTTACTGATTCTACTAAAATGGCAAAAAAGATAACTGCATATCATATGGATTATAGCACACATTATTTCCTTCCATCTTGTTTCCATAGGTGTAGAACGCAGTCCTAGTGAGATGGAGGAAGGCCAAGTTGATGTCAGCAGCACCGTATTTACCCCATTTGCTACTGGCGCGCTGCAGTATTCAGAGGCTAATTTCAACAAGCTATTAAATTTGACCAGCTACAATATCCTCAATAATCAACATATGATTCTTCAGGCTCTGCGTACAGCAGTACAACGAAAGAAGCAGCAGAAGCAACAGTCTCTATGACTCTCTTCTTAACCCTCTCCAAATGTATTTTCTGCATTTTCTGCCACTTGCCAGTATTACAGAAATGGGAACTTGCTAATTATTATTTGTGATTTATGTGCCGCAAGTGTACCAAGGTGCTCTGTTATTTTGTTTGCATACAAATATGGTAGGAAACAAATTGGGAGATAGTGACTGAGAGACATCTACTCGCAATTGGTCACCAATGAGGGGCTGGAACATGGTCGTCTTAGGCTCAGGTCCAGCACTACAGAGGCTTTGCTAAAATATAGACCTGAGTTATATTGCCTCAGCAACCGAAGCTTAGTGACAAAAGCCATTGACAAAATACGAATATCTATAATAGGCCTCTAAGTTTCAGATCTTAGGTTTTGTTCATAAATGCATGATTGTCACTTGATGATGGCAATATGAAGCAGCCATTACCGATCAAACAAACCAGAAGAGAACTCCCCTCTCACTTCATATCAACCCAGATACAATACCTTGAAATGGAGAAAGTTTACATGTTCAGCGCGAGCTCATTGACTGAGACCAATATGTTATCAAGTGATGTACATACAATGTGAATTTGTTCTCAGTATCTTCTAGAGATATGATATTGGTTTTCATGAAGCAATGGAGTGTTCATATGTGAATCAGCCTTCCCTATGTGAAAATTCAGATCGAGAAATACTGTTATGAGTTTGGGGGGTGCCAGACCTCTAAATTTCTGGATCCAGTTAAGTGCTAAAAGCTAATCAGGCCAGGCTAGCTTCCTGTGTTCAGGTAATTGCCTGGGCGAAGGGCCATTAAATGAGAACAAAGGAAAAGGTGACAGGCCATTAAGAAGGAAAAAGAGAGGGGGCTCTGGGGCAGATGGCGAATAGAAAGTTAAAAAGACAAAAGTCAGAGTTTAAAGTGAAGTGTGTGTAATGTCGCCTAGAGGTAAAGTTGCAGGCTAGAAAGGAAAAAAGGGCAAAGCACAGTATTTGAATCCAAGACTGTAGCTACAGGAGAAGCAAGACCCTTTTTGGGGTGTTAATTCTGTGAATGCCTCCATTGCAGGCTCAGGTTTTATATGTGTGTAAATTAAACCATATATCTTAAAGATACCACTGTCTCTGCTGTGCCTCATTCCCAAAAGGAAACATGAACTCTGGGTAAGTGCTTGGAACCCCTGAAATCTTGCACAGCTCAGAGATTGGGGTGGCATGCAACCATATATATTTTTTAAAGTATTATGTTTACAAAGTTGTGATTCAAATAAGTCATATAAACTTGTAACAAAGAAAAGAAATACAAGAATGGGAAATCCCACCCCCAACCATAATTTCCTCATATATTATCATGATCACCAAAAAGATTACAACAAGTAAATAAGGATCATCAGCACAATCTTAGCTTCAATATGCACAGCTACCTGGAGACCTGTGTTAATTCTCTTTCCACAGAATAAGATAAGATGAGCTTTAAGGCTGACTTTGGGCCTCACTGTCTGTGTCATGCCTAAGACCACTAGACATATAACCCCCAAAGGATCATGCATCTTGAACAGCTATATGACTGGGAGAAAGATGGGGAGAAGCCACCAAGTTTATACTACAAAGCCAGGATGCATTCCCACCAAAAAATACACATTTTCTTTTGTTGGTTGACCTCAGCAGTGGATGGGGTGGTGGTGACATGGCTAACCCCTGGTTGGTTGTGTCACTGCTGCTTACCGAGGATGGCATGGTGCAAACACATCAGTGGAGCCAATTTGGTGCTCCTATTGGTGCACTGGCTGCCTTGCCACCCCTTGCCCCTCTCCTCTGGCACTGTGGTCTAAACTACTGAGCCCCTTGTGCTTGCTGATCAGAAGGTCAGAGGTTTGAATCCCCACAACTGGGTGAGCTCCTGTTCCTCTGTCCCAGCTCCTGCCAAGCTAGCAGTTCAAAAGCATACCAGTGCAAGTAGATAAATAGGTACCACTGCGGCGGGAAGGTAAGCAACATTTCTGTGCACTCTGGTTTCCATCATGGTGTTCCATTGCACCAGAGGCGGTATAGTCATGCTGGCCACATGACCCAGAAAGCTGTCTGTGGACAGATGCCAGCTCCCTCAGCCTGAAAGCGAGATGAGCGCTGCGACCTCATAGTCACCTTTGACTGGACTTAACCATCCAGGTGTCCTTTACCTTTTTTTTAACCTTATCTAGTAAGCAGCAGCAACATGCCTGGACGTCAGGTGAGCACTGTGGCTGCCCCACCATGCCACCTGCTACTGGTCATTCCTGTATTATCATTTCAGGTGAAAAACAATACGGAATATGCTACATGTCACTACCATGGCAAATGGTGTAGGTGTTGGCTTGCAAATCCAGGACCGATGGCCACCAAGACATTGTTCAGCTTCCCAATTGGGACAGGCAACACACCTTTTATTCAGTGTTGCCTTGTTAATTAGACATCTGATTGCTTTTGCGCTGTCCATTTGCAGTTTCTGTCACACATATTTTGGATCAGCCCCTGTCTACTGGCCGTGGTAGTAAACAATAGCTTATTTTTCAGTTAATCTCTAAAAATAATTTCAGCAGTCTCTTGGCCACCACCCCATGAGTTTTGAGGGTGGTGAAGGCAGGATCAGGCAGGCAGGATCAGGGTCACATATAAACCCATCCAAGGGTTGTGCTTGTTCTCATGTTGATTTCTCATTCAGCTGGACTGGCAAGGTCAGCACATATAGCACAGCAACTCTTTACAGTATGAGTAACAGTGATGTACGCTGTTCCTCCTACCTTCTCCACTAGATACTGCTCCTGCACTTCCCATGCAATGCTGTTCATAACAGAGCCTCCGTTAGTGTCTTGTCTAGTGATGGGGGAGAATTTCAATTCATGCCATATATAAAGGTGAATTTATCAAATTCACACTTTCCAAAACAGTATGAGAACCAAAACACAGCTATCTTTTGAATTTTGCACTTCTTTGAATTTTGGGGTGCATTTCTGCAACTAAAGAATGCTTACAAACATGCACATATTAGGGGACATTGCTTGCAAAAATATGGTGTCAAAGCTGCATAAACGTGTTTATTAGGAGAAATTCAAACTAAAACACAGAGAGATTTTCATGAAGTTTGTTTGTTTTTAATCACAAATTGCTGCAGAAAGGTGGGGAACTGAATTTAAAATTTGATAAATGAGAAGTTGAGAGAACTGAAATTGACAGAACCGCCCTTCACTAGCCTTGACTGCTCCTACTGTGCTGTGATTTAGCTCTCCATCCAAAGGACATCCTTGATGTATCTGAAGTGTGCTCTCACGTGCCTTTTCAGGGCTGATTCACACTCGCATATCTCCCACTTGCTGCAGCGGAGAGACTATGTTTGATTCACCAAAGCTGTCAGCAGCCGGAGTCATGCCTAGGTCAGCAATAAAAGAAGGCACTAAATGTCAGTGAAGTTAGCTCTTTATTTGAGGCTTTCTACTCAGCATGGGCTATGACCAAGCCAAAGCTCTCATAAAACAATGTGTAGTAGACACTGAGCGCCAATTGGATCTAGCCTGGACTCCAACTTTTATTGCCAATGAATCCTCCAGGTACTCTGCCTACCCTATGGCATATCTAGCTAAACTCAAAGTCCCTAAGCACCGGAGGGCCTTTACCTTGGCTCTATGTCATGCCCTCCCCTGGGCTGTCGTTGGATTGCTTACCTGGAGAGACAATGCCCCTGTGACTCTGGTCAAATAGAAACAACAGAGCATGTGCTTCTGTAGTGCCTGTATTACAGAGACATTCATACTAGCTTCATCTTACCATTACTGCATAAGTACCCAGTGTTCTTGAAGCTACCAACATGAGTTTGAGGCAGTGGAAGACAGGAGTGCCTGGTGTGCTCTGGTCCATGGGGTCACAAAGAGTCGGACACGACTAAACAACTAAACAACAACTCCCAGGGCGCCTTCTTGCTGCTTTCAGATACCAACCCTGCTACAACATACAATGTTGCCAGATTCGGCACAGCAGCGCTCAAAATTTGTTGGACGATGACCCGTACCACAAACTAGATTAATGAGCACTCATATCAGAGTGCTCTGTAGACTGATAGCTATAGTCTTATACATATTAACCTCTTACAATCTGACACACCTGTCTAATTTTCCCAAAACACTTCTTTTAGACTTTCCTTGCTTCCTTTAGATTCTTATAGACTTGTTATTCTTTTTAGTTTTTCAAACCGTTTTCCAGATTTTAAATGACTGTACCCCCACTTCCTTATGCTGGTCTATGACCATAATAAAGATTCGATTCGATTCAAGGAAACAAAACTGTTCAGTCTTAGTGGTCACAACATCCCTTCCCTTCCCAGGAGGTCTTGCCACAATGAAGCAGGTGCGAGGACTGAAGGTCCCTTCCTTCCAACTGCTATCTAAGGCTCCTCTCCCACATCCTCCATCAGCAGCCTAAGACTTTGTTGTCTTGCCTCTCATTGCTTCACCTTCTTCATTCCTCTGTGTGTTCCGGGGGGTTGGGAGGGGGAGGGGAGCTGGTTGCAGAAGGAGAGGAAGGGGAAGACTGCCTGGCCTTTTCAGCAGTCTGCTTCATCTCTGTCTCCAGCCCCATGTCCTTTTCTGTTTCTGAAGAAGAGTTTGAAGAAGAAGAAGAGGAGGAGGAGGAGGAGTTTGGATTTGATATCCCGCTTTATCACTACCCTAAGGAGTCTCAAAGCAGCTAACATTCTCCTTTCCCTTCCTCCCCCACAACAAACACTCTGTGAGGTGAGTGGGGCTGAGAGACTTCAGAGAGGTGTGACTAGCCCAAGGTCACCCAGCAGCTGCATGTGGAGGAGCGGAGATGCGAACCTGGTTCACCAGATTACGAGTCTACCGCTCTTAACCACTACATCACACTGGCTCTCTGAGTCTGGATTACCCTGTGCCACAGCCTCTTCCTGCCCACTAAACCAGGGGTCAGCAAGGTTTACCTCGCCTGCACCGGTTCACTCCAGCAGAGATCCCTCCGTAAATCAGATTGCTTGTGCCTGCAATTTCCGGCGTCTGCGCAGACATGATTTCCAGCGCCGCGGAAGCAAGTCGCTGCACCGCGCTGTGCTGGTTTAGTGCAGCATGTGGGAACTCACCAAGCAGGCGGCTTGGTTCAGGGGCGGCTCGTGGGCTGGTTAAACAACCCCCGCGGGTTGCTTGTGGCCCATGGGTCTTAGGTTGCCACCCCTGCACTAAACCCTGTTGCTGCTTCTGACACCACAAAGCATGTTGCCTTTTCAGCTTCTTCCACCTCTTCCTCCCAGTCTGCTCCCTCTGACCATAGATCGTTGTCCCACCACCAAACCCCTGGCTCTGAGCTGCCCTCCCTTGGGGGTTCCCCAGCTTTTGCCTTCTTCCACTCCTCTGTATCCAGCCAGTCCATGACAAAGGGACAAGCTTTCCCACTTGCTCCTCTTATAAGGAGGAGCTGCTGTTGGAGGATGTACTATAGCTTCCTGACATTTGCGGGGTGGGTGTGTGGGAGCTGGCCTTTGCCTTAGGCAAAAGGAATCAAGAATTTGGCTTTCAGTTGTTGGTTTGATAAGATAAGAGTATTTTCCCCTTAAACTTTTTACAATATTTTTTTTTTGCCTGGCATTTTGTATCTGTGTTAAGCTTTGTGGGTCCTTTTTGCCAGAAGGTGGGCATAGGAACAAACTATAGTTAATTAGGGTCACAGCTATACCATATATTTAAGTCACATGGTTTCTCCCCAGATAATCCTGGGTATCCTGAGGAACTGAGTTTGTTATGGGTGCTGGGAGGTGTACCTGTTAGGGTTAAACTATTGTTCCCAGGATTCCTTGGGGGAAGCCACGTGGTTTAAATATGTGTTAAATGTATGTTGCAAATGTGTCCTAATTGAGCAACTGGTTGCATTTGTGAATGAGCCATAACAAACTTAACACAACAGGTAAAACAGTCACATCACGTAACCCACAATGCTTTT